ATGAGTTGGCGTGATACACCCGAACTTCCCCATGCAGAGGAGATCATGAAAGAATCATACACCCTCCCAAAGAACGACGGCCCCAATGCCGTCTACCCGACGAAAAGCGCGTATCTCCGGGCCCAATACGACCTCTTACGCTTCGAGGGCACCGAGCCACTCCGTAGAGCCGTTCAAGAATACAAATCCACCCCCGAGATGGCAGAGAGCACTGAGACGTGCATATATACCGATGTAAGCAATCTACTAAGCATTCCCTACCAGTATGGGATTGGATCTGATAGGGGATGCCCAAAGGTCTTTGTCCGCGGAGTCAACATCATCCGCCTCGGAGTCATGGTCCGCATCACCTTCTCCGCCGTCCGCGCACGGCAACTTATCAACTGGCCGGCATCTCAGCGTGTGGTCCCAGGCACAATAGTAGCTCTGTCTCCCGCCTCAGACCACTTCAGAACACAGTGTATCGTGGCAGTGGTGACGGGTCGTTACGATGATCGCGCCGGCAATTCAATGGCGCCTCCTCCCTTGGATCTCGAATTTTCCGATCCCAGTATCACTGCTGGTTTCATGGAGCCAGATCAGGCGTATATCATGGTCGAAGCCCGCTCAAACTACTTTGAAGCCGTTCGACACGTTTTGGAGGGGCTCAAGCAAACAGCAGAAGACGAGTAAGATGAGGACATTTTCAAAACTCGATGGAAGTCTCTGAGCTGATGCGTTTCTCAGTTCACCATTCGACAAGTACTTCATCGGCCAGTTGAACACCGTTGACATGCCTAGTTCACTGCCATCACCGTCCACCACATTGGACATCTCAGCTCTCCACGACGGTCTTCAACGCCCAGTTCCCATACACATCCCCAAACAAGGCGACATACCAAGTCACGTACAGTCGAAGACAAGACTAGACCAATCCCAACTACAAGCCCTCCAGCGCATGATAACAAAGGAGCTCGCCATCGTCCAAGGCCCACCCGGAACAGGCAAGACGCACACGTCCATGGCGGCACTCAAAGTCCTGCTAAGCACGCAGCGCTCTAATGCGCCTATTATCGTCACGGCCCAGAAGAACGACACCGTCGACGAGCTCCTCGTCAGATGTCACCAGCTCGGTGTGGACTTTGTACGCCTCGGCGGCCAGGCCAAGGACGAGATCATTGCCAGCCGGACTCTCTTCAACCTCCGCACTCGATCTCGCGGCAAGACGTGGAGTAAGAGCGCGCTCGAGAAACGTCTCGTCTCTCTCAGATCTCAGGCGAAGCTTCTACTCCAGTGCTGTTTCCCCCCCGCTCATCAGGAGCTGATCCTACCGGAACACTTCCGCGAGGTTGGTTTGATCAGCGCGGAGCAGCATGCCTCCGTCACGAAGTGCTGGGACGGCGACGTCAGATCCATCGCCCGGGAGGGATCCCGAAACTCGCTCGGATCGTGGCTCGGTGATCAGCTGCTCGCCAAGATACCTCATAGGAGCGTTCACGTTCCTCTCAGCGACGGCATCGACAATGACGAAGCAGCGTCAGGGCCCGGGATCAGCGGGAAGGGTTCAGCCGATAACAAGAAAGAGCAGTTGTCGGGCAAGCCTATCTTGATCGCGCGCTGGAACAGCATCAAATACTCGAAAGGCGTTGCTCTCAACCACGAGCTGGCGCAAGAGCTGCTTGTCAAAAATGGGAACCTCTGGTCGATTGTGCCCCAGTATCGCGGCATGGTCTACCACTATCTCGAACGTAGATACCTCGCATTAACCAAGCTAGCCCTGTCCGCAATCTTCAAGCAGCTCGACAACGTAGTCAAGAAGCTCAAGGTCGCCCGCTGGCAAGAAGACATCACCGCAGTCCGCGAGTCAAAGGCCCGCATCATGGGCTGTACGACAACAGGCCTCACAAAGTACCGCAGGCTCATCGCCGCGCTACGGCCGCGCGTAATGATGATCGAAGAAGCCGCCGAGACCCGCGAAGCAAACATCACCGCCGCGCTGTTCCCCTCCCTGGAGCGAATCATCTTGGTCGGCGACCACATGCAGCTGGCGCCCCACGCCGACTGCCTCGAGCTCAGCAAGCCCCCATTCTACCTCAACGTATCTCTGTTCCAGAGGCTCGTGGAGCGCGGCCTAGAGCATTCTACCCTTCAGGTGCAGAGACGCATGGCGCCCGACATTCGCAAGCTGCTGAACGCATGGTATCCTCTCCTGGTGGACCACCCTTCGACGTTGGACCGGGAAGCTGTCCCAGGCATGGGCTTGGAGAGCGTGCTGTGGTTCAATCACCAACGGCCCGAGTCATCTAACCGGTACTGCAGCAAGGTCAACACTTTCGAGGCCGACATGATTGTCGGGCTATACAACCACCTAGTGTCCAACGGCACGAGCCCGTCAGAAATCACCATCCTGACCTTCTACAGCGGACAAAAGGCATGTATCGAACATAGCCTCCGCCAAACTCCCGGCGCCGGTCGCCTCGGGCCCGAGGTCCAGACAGTGGACGGGTACCAGGGCAGGGAGAACCGCATCATCCTCATCTCCATTACCCGAAGTCCGGAAGATCGCACAAAACCAGACTCGGGCTTCCTCAACGACCTAAGACGCGCCATAGTCGCCCTCAGCCGCCCTCGACACCTGCTAGTCATCCTTGGCGATATGCAGAATCTGCTGGCATCGTCAGCTCGGCCAATTTGGAGCGAGGTCTTGAACAGGATGGAGGCATCGCCCACGGACTACATCCCCGTCTTCTGCAAAGCGCACAAGAGTGAGATTCGCATCCGACAGCCGGGTGATTGGGCAGGACTTTCGGGTAAAGGAGGCTGTAGTATGCGCTGCGGGCGACAAACGGCTGCACAAGGAGCAACATGCGGCCGAAAGTGCCATGGGTATGTTGGCCCCAAGCCTTTTGACGAAGAATGCTAATTGAATCTGGTATCAAGAAGCTCTTGCAAGCCCACGATCGGTGCCATGTTCACTGACAGCAACGCGCGGACGATCTCCGAGCGTCCCATCGCGACAAGCCTCACGAGCCCACAGGCACAAGAAGATCTTATAGATCTGAGCGACTTCTAAGGTGGTGGACTGAAAGGAAGCCTCGGGGTATGACATTGAAGCGTCGGAGAACGGGCCCAGGATTCAAACTGCACCCGGCGAACGACGCTGGCTGAAGGCCAACGCCCACAAGAGCACGGCGAGGCCAGATGGGCAGATCACAGACCCAGGCAGTAGCTAGCTAAGCTTGGAGTACGGGGAGAGCACAACGTAATAGATTCCGATGATCTAGCCCGGGGTCTTGCAACGGGTACGGGACTGCATCAAAGTGGAAGACGAGTGAGCATGGCCGAGTTACTCAGCCATTGTAAGACATCACTGGCCAGATCAACGCGGAACGGTCTCCGTGGACAATGGCTCAACCAGCCAGTCTTGCCTCCCAAGACCATGGTCGCCATCAAATCATCAAGTTGACGTTAGAAACTGTCAGGACTCAACCTAGCATCACAGTGCAACGTTCCGCAGCCCAAGTAACCAACCATTCGGTTACAAAAGTCTTCTGTGAAGAGAGTGACCAAATCCTCAGACGTTTAGGTCAGGTTGTTTCCAGAAATGTTTCCCATCCGTCTTATCGATAGCTTATCGTGCATTGCGAGATGAATAGCAGTGACCTTCAGCCTCAGGCCATGAGGCCCCCTTCCTTTGAACACCAGTACCACGGTAATAAGTTGCAAAGTGACGGACGCACTTACATTTACCTGCACACCCCCCTCGTTTTTTGAACAGATCTGCCCACACAGCACGAGGCGTCCGGGATGGTAGGGGCCACACCCGCTGCAGGCTACGGCAGCAATCCTAGGGCCCCCGGAAGGCGGAAGCGAAAATTTTCTTGCATTGGCACGAAGCGGAAATGGAAGCAGTTCACGGCAGAAGAATCGCTCTTTTCTCTTTCTGAGACAGCTTCGCTAGGGTGCCGAGTACTTCTAGTCAGATGGAATCGAGTCGGTTTGAGGTGAGGCCAGTGTGTATTATCTACATCCATGTTTCTCACCGCACGACATATCTTTCTTACTTTTCATCGTGTCGTGGCCTCGAGCTTTCATGAGATCAAAATTCGGCAGGTACCTCGCCTCTCACCACTTCTGTTAAGGATCTGGCCCACGAAAGAACCTCGAGATGGAAGTCAAGCCAGGTGTCATCGTCATTGATCTCCCTCAACCCGAGCGTAGTCAATTGCGCCGTCTGAGTGGTCAATGCCATTGCTTATCCCATCATTACCGTTCTGTAACGACGGTCAGAGGAGGTGAGTGAGTGTGCTCGTGAATCATCTATATTTTTGCACGCCCATCGATCTCCCAGGCGGATTTCAATGCTCATCGCGGGGAGATTTGGGTGGTGTTCATCTTTCAATAGAGGATGCGAGCGAGAGTGAGTTGGGACGAACTTGGGTCGGCCACCTCGTCTACAATACAAGAACACGGCAGTCGACCGCTATTAAGCATTCTCGACAACAAGATCGGCGAGGCGAGAAAGCTCGATACGCCGCATCGCCCTCACCAGACATTTCATCGGGGGGGGGAAGTGTGAGGATAGGTGAATAGCCCCCAGTGCCGCCAAATGAGCAAGATGGGCGATGCTGCGGGGATGAGATGTGCCTCAGGCAATTGAGGCATAGAGATACGAGCCCGTTGACCGTCACACTCGCCCACCCCGAGCCCTCGACACTGCTGGGGGCCAGCCAAGGCTCCCTTCCGCCCAACCGCCGTGCCGCCCTAGCATGACGGTGCAGCAACTGACACCTGCGCTGGCTCGATCCGAACGTTCAATTCCCCCCCACCCCCGCGTCGATCAACGAACCTGGGCTCCGCTGAAGAGCTGTAGTCTTGACACGCCCCTCCAAAGAGGGAAGGGGAAACGGGTAAGAAAACAACTTTGTTGCATGTCAATCTCATAGGGCTGAGCTAGGATCCCCAACAACCTCTTGCCAGCACCATCACAACTTCACGGGCTGCGATTGTCACAGGATTGGTATTATTGTTGTGTTTTTTTTTCCCACATAATATGTTGTCTAAGTTTGTCATACTCAATCCACCATAGATTACCCGACAACCCTGGTGGGTGGTTATTGACGGTCATCACATAGTAAAAATACCAGACAAGATATCATGTCCTAATTGATCCGAGACCGTCTATTCCTCCTAGTAGAGAAATAGCTGCCGTACCGCAACTATGTCCCACCCGATAACAACATAATCGTAGCCAATCTTCAGGCTGTCCCAGCATCTCAGCCACCTGCTGATACAATAGCCGCGAATGAACTCTGCCCTGAACCAAAACCAATTGACCTTGAACCAAAACTAATGGAAAGGGGGTATGATGACCAAGCCCAAATGCAAAACCAAACAAAGGAAATTGTGATGGAGTGGGGTGACATGACTGGGGTAATCAGATTTCTGTCGCACTCCGGGTATCATGGTAGTTGTCCCTAATGCTCTGATGTAGTAAATGGCTGTGTCCGTGATGTGATGCCGCATGTGTGATGAAACAGACCCAAAATATCAAGACCTAATGAAACCTGAATTCCGCTTTCGCTGCACGAAAGAAAAGCGAAGGACCATGTCCCATAATACTAGAAGTAGGAAATCCGGGTTTGTGAACCGATCCAAACCTAAATCGCTGTATGCAAAGAAATGCCCCTAAAAGGAAAAAGAACGAGGGGATAACTTGAGCTCTTCTCATGTGTCGTATGTCGTAAGTCTATTCAAGTCATCGTAAGAATGGCGTCGTGGCAAAAGTTTCGAAACGTGACGACCATGCATCATGCCAGATGATGCATGGTTCTGAAGAACAAGTTGCTTGGAGAAATGTTCAGAGAAATTTGGCTGTCCATTTGAGGTCGAGCCAACCGACCTTGTCGAAAGCTGTCCAAAGCTTGGAAGCTTTGTTGACATCAATCTTACAGGCCTGCTGAGCGTCCGTCTTGCGGAACTCCTTGCTAACCTTCGCACACTCGACCCGACGGACGAAAATGCGTCGCTTGCTTGTAAGATAGGTAGCGCAGTCGAGTCGAAGGTTTGCAGCAAGGCTGACCTCATCAGGGTGAAGCAAATGAACATTGGCGTCGTCGCTGAGGTCGATGGGGGCGCCTTTCCAGTCTACCTTCAAGCAGTTGGGCTTGTCTGGCAGCGAAGAAATCGGGGGGCAAAAATCGGGAAGAGCAGCAAAGTCGCGGTCTTCTCTGTTCGGTGCCACGATACGACGAGCAGGGTCCGGAGTCGAACTGACGCGGCGAGCATGGCGAGTCGGGGGGCTGTTGCGGATGGGCCGAGGAGCCTGAGCCTTGACAACACGTTCAGGCTTAGGATTTGAGGATAACGAAATCCTAGGCTTGCTGACTGCTGGCTTGGAGGCCTTGACGGGTGTGGACTTGGCTGGGGCGATAGTCTGATATCGCACGACGCTGTTCCAACGGGCGTGGTTCAGCTTCCGGTCGGCTCTTACTTGGTCCCTCTCCTTCTCGTACCAAGACTTCCTCTTGTTCGCAAAGAGTCTCATGACCTGCGACTTGAGTTGCAGAGCTAATTCGTAGTCTTCTCTGAGAGGAGGCGAGCCCTCGCGGAATAGGCCAGGAGGTCGCGTAACAATGTGTTCGTCGACAATGCGTCTGTGCTCGATGGATTCGGTGCTGGGAAAGAGAGGTGGCTGTGTCGGACTAGAAGCCGCATCTTCGCGAGGGTATAAGATCGGATCCTTTGCCGGAGTTCCAGGAATGGTTATGTTGCTGGACTCTGTGATGTAAGGCGAGACTGGAGGCGACATGGGCATGTGGGGCTTGGATGATTCGTTGGCTTGTGAAGCACCCGATGCAGTCTGTACCGTATTTTGCTGACCTTGGCTGAAGCTGTCATATGGAACCGGCTCTGGAGGAGACATTAAATTGCTAATGTCGAAAGCCCTCTTCGGCTCTCGAGCCATCGTTGTCGCTTGATGCGGTGTCATGTGGTAGTTGGGCTCCATTGCTTGTGAGATTGAGGTCGATGAAGATGGTTGCATCCTAGAGAACTTGAAAGGGATTTGGGAAGTGTGAGTTGAGTCGAAGGTTCTTGTAGGTTGCGGAGCGGCGGTGCGGTTGGGTTTGTCAGCCATCTTATATGTTGTTGTTGGTGGCGAGGCGGAAAATGGAGATATCGGAGTTGGGGTATTTCGGGTGTAAGGGAAGCCGGTGGACAGCGGAAGAACAATTGCGTGTTCAGGGCTGAAGACGGGACCGAAAAAGCAACTTCTTGCTTCAAGCGTCTGACTGCCTTTGAAAGAGATTTAATTGACCAGCAGGTGGTTGATTGTGTTAGGAGGAGCGAGAGCCGTAAGTGGGGGATTTGTGACCCAATTGATGATGACGTTCGCTGCGGGAAGCTTGTTTGAGTGTCGCTTTACTGCGGTCGGGTGCTGACGCAACCGTGCTGAGGATGGTGGACAGTGGGAGTAATGCGATAGACCATTTACTTGTGCGCTCGATGACAAGCACAAGCCTCCATTGACTTGAATTGAATCAAGAGTAGACAGAAGTGTGCGTCAGTGTCAAACGAGCAGTGAGAGGGCACCGAATGGATAAATACTGCTATTCAGGGCGGGGCGAGGCGACAGAAGCGAGTTGATATCTGTGTGGAGGGGCGGATTGGTGGCGGTATGTACCAACTGAGAGGTTTCGAGTATGGTAGTGGCGATGGGCGCGCTGGGCAGAGGAACCGCACAGTTTCGAGAGCTTGATATGTCGATGTTTGACACGGTAAATGGGGAGAAGTGGTAGAAAAGAAGAAGAGAGAAGGGAGCGCAAAGCGTGGCTCGGAGGGCAGCGAGAAGAATAATAAGGACAGGCCTAAAGCGAAGCCTGGCGCAAAGTGGATGATGGATGACTGAAGGAGGTGAGGGCGAGTGAGTGCCAGGTCAGGTTGGGCAGGAGGAGCATGAAGAGGAGGAGGAGTAGAAGGAGGAGTAAGGTAGGGTGAGGGGAGTAGACTGGGTTAGGTAGGCACGTAGGGTGAAGAAGAAGATGGAGACGGAGGGTGTGCAGGGTGTCACAGTCCACAGTGGGTGTAAGTACCGACGAATACGGTACCAGGCAGGGACCTTCGGGAAGATAGAAGACGGGATACGGTCGGGGGAACTTTCCAGGCACGAACGATGGCTGGAGTCCTGGCTGGACATGGAACATTCAGGTAACCTAGAGGACGGACGGGTCACAATTGAACAGCACAGGACGGGATTGTTGGAACAGACAAGGCCGAAACAGAGAAACAGAGGGCCTGATGACCCAGCCATGTCTACTTACCATACCTTACTGACCTTATCTATCTTACACTGTCTACTTGCCCGTGAAAACCGTAAGGCATGTAGACCAGAGCTGGAGTGACAAGAGACGGGATAAGGTAGAGAGAAAGCGAGAGGAAAGTCCGAGGGGCAGGAAGGACGAGAATGCGAATGTGGAAAGTGGTTCCCTTCCCCTTCCCTCTTTCTGCTTTACAGTACACAGTACCTTGGGTGGGTGTTTGGGGTCTTCAGGTTGTTCTGGCTGAGGTGGGAAAGAGGAAGAGTCATCCATCAAGGTGATAATCGCACACCCCTTGTGTCTGGCCGACCTAACTCTCTTCCTCTTCCCCTGCACCCGCTCCTTGTCTGAATCATCTATGTAACCCCACCCCCCTCCAGCTCAATTGCACGCCCTCTATTTGCGTGACTGCTATGTTGCCTTGTGGGCTTACCCAGTAAGACCGAGCCACACCTCACCACTCAATTGCCTGGCATTGCCCTCTGATGTGATTTGTTCAAGGCAGAAGTCGACGAAGCCCCCAGAAGTGAGAGTGAGTTGTTGATGTTGTCGGAACTGTTGTTTTGATTGTTATTATTGTTGTGGTGGTGGTTGGTGTTGTTGTCGTCGTCGTTGTTGTCGTTGTACCTGGTCTCTCCATGTCGCAGAGGACCTTGCTTCTCCTCCTAGCTTCTTCATGCGCTACCAAGCTCAAGGGAATTATACAGGCGGAGGGTGTGTGCTTAATCATCCCGATGACATTCCACGCTTTACCTGCAGAGTCTACGGATACCTGGGCTTAGAAAGCACAAAGAAATCTGAAAAGAGAAGGAAGGAGGTTTGTGTCACAGTGGCTTTGGGCATTAAACACTTAAAGATCCCAGCACTCCACGTACCTCATCCTCAGAAGGTACATGCTTCCACAATCAATACCTCCCCGCTCTCTTCTGCGCTCCTCATCCTCCGCCTTTGTGTCTCTAAGCGCCTGGTTTCCAAGTACGCAAGTGCACTGCTAGGTACCTTGCCTCGATCCAATGGATTCTCAGGTTCCGCAATCACAAAGGCTGCGTAAAGCCAGGTCGTCCAAGGCACTCGTCCTACAAGTAAGGTAGGTAATCTTCAGCCATGGAAGAAGGTAAGGTACCTAAAGTAGTTAACGTAGTGGGTAGGCAGCCAGCCTCTGCCCTACCGTCGTGCCCCTCCCCCGCTGCCCCTCCATTCAAATGTTTGGGAGAAACTGTCCACGGGAAACCACCTCAGCGACAAATCCGATCGGACGATGAAGCGTTTTGCTTCCATTCTTCGACATACTTTGACCAATACGACACAATTCGCTGCAATTGCAAGAGAGGAAAAGGATTGGAATAGACCTGCTTGCTTTGACAACGCCAATGCCGGCGGGACGAACGGGCGGTAGAACCATTGACTTTGACAATGCCTCTCAATTGAGTCTCGCAGGGATCAACTACCTAGGTAGGTGGTCTTTGCTCTATCTCTCTCTCTCCCTCTCTCTCCCCTCTACCTCTTCTATGCCTCACCGTGGGGTAGATCAGGTACGGGGGTACCTACTTGGTAATGACGGTGTGCCTCGGGGCGACGAGCGACGGAACCGCCTCCGTTCCCTCTGTCTCCCCCCCCCCCCCCCGCCCTCACCTGATGCCACCACAAACACCGCTTCTCGCATCATGTCAATGGCCCCGTCATGGCGTTTAAGAAGTTGGAAACCAACCCTCTTTTACCTCCGTGCGTGCCCTCTTCTCCACCCAGGAAAACAACGAACAAACGATCAAGTCTCTAGGGGGCGGGCACGACCATGGGCACGACGGGCTCGAAAACGAACCTACGAACGGTGCATCTGACGGCATGTAGCAGAGGTGTGTGTCAAGCGAGGTGGGCGGATGACAACCTGTCTCTAATACTGGGTCTCGAATCCGAGTCACTTGCTCGCCGCCAGACGCCCAATCAGCCTCAGCTTTAGCTTCCAACGGGCTCTGGGCCACCCCCCCCCCCCAAAGTCCTCACACAGGCTCACTCACTCACGTCTGGACTAGGTAGAGTTGACTCCCTATCCGGCCCGGCCCAATCAACTCCGCTCTGGCTGCCGCACTGCGCATGTATCTCTGCTGCCGTACCTGATCGATACCCAAGACTGGGGCCATGCAATGAGGAACAGCCCGAACCAGGCGGTTACCTACTCCATTTCACATGAACGGTTTGCTGCTGTGTATAGGTAATCAAGAAAACGTTTCATGCCTCACTCTTTGTCCACTGTTGCTAGGCAGACCGAAAAAGTATCGGCAGCCTAGATTGGAGGCATCCCGTATTACTTGGTCGTCGAGAGGTACCTAGAGTAGGCAGGCAAGTATAGAGTCAGGCTGGCTGGCAGTCGAGATTGGCGGTGCGATTGACGATAGTTGAAGGAGGGGCGGGCTGCCTTGTTCTCGTTGAGAAGATGGGATGGCACAGGAAACGTACCAAAGTACCGCCAGCCAGGAGCGCCGTTAAGCTTTCGGCTGTAGTGGTCAGCCTCGAGGCAATCCTGCCAGTGCCCGTCTCATCACCTTGTTTATTACGTGGTAATTATGTATGAGCCGAGCTAACCTCGACTACTGCTTGTAGCTTGACCGGTCTATGATATGAATTGAGTTGAGGTATGGGTCTTTCTTCCGACACTCGTCCGAACTGATACTGTGAATTGCTTGGAACTAAGACTACCGCAGTAGCAACAGCCAACAGGCTCCATCTCAGCAAAGAGGCGTGAGTGTGATTGCGACAATTATGGGCGGCTTTTTGGGGTCTGGCCATGCAACCTTGCCAAGGCCTAGTAAATCCGATGAGGGGCAGAATCCAGAAAGACCCAAACAAACGCGCATAGCGATAGAGTAAGGTAGTACAGCAAGTACAGCGCAGGGGGGTTGCCTGGCACGAATCTTGACGCAAGGTGCCTTGCTTTACCACGGCGCATTGATTGGTTTATGGTGGTGCACATTGGCCTCAGAACCGTGGAGCGAGAAGAATATACACTATTACCTGCGGTATCCGTACTATCATGGCAGAAGTAGAGAGACAGAGAGAGCCTAAGGGCGAAGGCTACCTACCTTGGTTGCTGCCGGTGAAGTTTTGCTTGGAAAGCATTGTCACATTCGATGCGCCGCCACACGTTGTAACTCCAGATTGGCCTGGCACGCCTAGACGGACTGAATATGACAGGGAATTGGCAGGCATGGAACGCAAGGCATTGTGCAGAAAAGACGGGCAATTTACGGTATGTGATGCAGCAGCCGTGTTGTTAGCCGCAGGCAAGGGAAGGCAAGGGGGCCATTTGTCGGCGAATTCAATTCGACCATGTCAACAAGTCGGGCAGAATCAGGGACGAAGAGGCAGTCTATGGATGGATCAGGATCGTGGAGCCGTAGAGTGCACCTCATGGAAAGGCGGGCACAGCGCAGACAGCAGACACGGCAGGCTAGGTAGGCTGGCTGCTGGCCGCTGGTCCCTTGTCCCCTGGATGCTGGATGCTGGATGCTGGATGCTGGATAGGGATCCCATCGATTCGGTCAAGACACACCTTGACACCCAAGTTTTCCCTTTTGGCTGATGCCGCTGATGCCAGTCGCTGCAGGAAGCGTGGCAATCGGCAACGGGATGGCACAAGAAGGAGAGGCGAACAGGGCGTCCATGTTGGGCAGATGCAATTGACCAATGGGTGGGCTCATTGACCGCTCAATTGCGCATCCAGAGGCTCCATTCTCCTGCCTGGAGAATGTCAATCTTGCACATTGGTTTAGCTCCGCAGACTTGAGCACTAGACGACGGGTCCAAGTCAAGTCAACATGCTAAAGCCTAAAACACACAAATGCAGCTCGGAGAGCCGTGTGACGAAATGAGTGAGTGGCACTTGAAGATCCAGCGGGAGGAGAGAGGCGGACAGCAAAGTGCGGAAAGTGCGGTGAGGGCGCGTAAGCCTCACAGCTAAAGTAAGAAGCAACAGGAAGGCCAATTGACAAGGCAATGGGCGGCCTCCCACGTGCCATTGACATTGAGTTGGCCTCAGGTGCAGGGCCGAACGAACACCAACGCCAATAAGAACAAAAACAACAAGACCTGGACAACGTCTCCTGTCCAATTCAATTCAGCAACAGGACAAAAGTAAGTGCGTGCCTAGGTACTTTGGTTCCGTACAAGTAGAGACGTACAGTTGTTTGCACCTGTGGCATTGTACAAAGTGAACAACCGAAAGTAAGTAGAGGCGGGGGCTATCCGTTGTGGCGATGAGATGGACCTTAGGGCGGGATGGCGCGTCCAGCACCCAGAGTGACTCTTCCATGTGCGCAGAGTTACGAAATGCAGGAGTCACCAGTTGGGTTGTGTGAGTCACAGGGAAAAAGCGACTCTGAATTGATGGATCATGGAGACTTCCATTGGACTCTGGAGTGCGTGAGTGCTTCTTGTTGGTCTTGCCGCGCCTCAAGTCGAAACACTCGACCCCTGCAACTCTTTTCGGTCTAGCGTGATCGTCTTCTATCGATAAGGCGTCACGACTAAGGTGGGGCCTTGCTGCACCTGCGGGCTGCGGCCTACCTCCGCCTACGACGAATACCTTAGTAAGTACCGCTTAGGGTCGGGTACTTCTCGTCCACCGTGTGTACCTTGGCCCCTCAGATTTTAGGTATGTGTGTTTCCATTGGAAAGTCCCATTTTGACCTTTTGTACACTTACAATCCAGGGAAGGTAAGTAACTCCCAGGAGTCCCAGGCACCGTTCCTCCTGCTCTGTGACTTTCCCCTCAGTACCTAAATAATAACGTAAGACTCAATGAGACAAGCTTGAGTGGTGCTCTAGCATCCATCGCCTTCCACGTCCTTCGATGGATATGCGAGGATTGAACGACCCGAGCAAAGGAAAGGAGCAACGACCTGGACCGAACGACGCGAGCCCACATCTCTGGATGCCCTTTGCCAGTCGACAAGGCCCTGGTCTTTCAAGGACTGAACAGTAGCTACGTCCAGCCCGTGCCGAAATAAGGACCTTGCATGGCAACGCATCCAGCCCGCAAGCCAAACATCTCACTCGGCAATGTACCCAGCTCAGCGCTTCCAACGCCATCTTCCCCCTACTAGGTACTCCGTACACTCCTCTTCATAATCCGCATCTCTACCAGCCTTGATTCAGCCCGCGAACGCTCGTTGCCAGACACCAGCCATACCTGACAACAGGAAAAAGAGACTGAATTTATTCGATTACGTTTTTGAGAAATGGCGAGCGGGTGAAACGCCGACTTCACAATGATAGAGCATACCTGAATCTCACGACACGAGTATAGCAGACACTCAGCACCCTTGTATTGCGTAGCAGGAGAAGTATCCGAGCCATCCCCTTGGAATGGAAAGCTGCGAGTGCAGACTTCTGGAAGCCCGAACGCTGCAACGGGGCAAGGTCTAAATCCTCCGACGCCCCGAGCTTCCCGGAAGGACGAGCTGTGGCGTCGCCATGCAATGGATTGAGAGTTCAGCGATGACTGTGACAGCAATGAGATAGGTACGGCAGCTGTACATAGAGGCAAAAATACATTTGTCAGTGACATCTCATTTGCTGCCGCCCAGAACGCTCTGACGTCCTGGAACTGAATACGACGCAAGGTCTCGCACCTGCGGCCCTCAAAGCAAGACAAGAAGAGACCGACAGGCGAGTCTGAAGATGGAAGATATCGGGACACCGAACTTTAGGATCAAATCGGTAAGCAATGTGCAACTGAGTCGCTGTCGAGGCGAGTCTTTGAGATGGCCGTCTCTCGTCTTGGGTCTAGGAAGCCTTGACGTATCATTCGTCACAAGGACATTGGGCCATACCTAAAGTTTCTCTTTGCGCTTGCAGCAACGGCTTGGTCGATAAGTTGCGGAAGAAACGGCGGGAGAACAGAAGCACTCCTCGCCAATGACCACAGCTCTCTCGGCAGCAATCGGACGCGCAATCGATGCTGGTTGCCTGCTCTGAATCCGAGGCGCGGTTCTCGCGGATAGCAAAGGCAACGAGACATTTCGAGTTTGACTAGCCGGGCCGCTTTGCAATCTTGAGAAAGCCCAGATCATCGCCCCAGATGCCCCCAGATGCCCCCCAGATCAGAGGCGCCCCAAAGGACCCGAAGGACCCCCCAACCAGCCAAAGGCGCACTGTGTCCAACGGTCTAATTCAGGCGAGGTAGTCTGGTTACAATGTTAGAGCATCAACGGAAACTTATCGATAGCGGGAACGGGCGCTATCAGTAGCAGCCGTCGTGCAGCACCACATCACCAGGCCCTCGGGTGGTCGGTGGTGGTTGGGTTCATCCTCGTTGTCAGCTGGCGTCCACAATCTCTACCTCTGCTCGCTATGGTTGTCTATCAACCTAAGGTGGTGTCAATGATGCGCTCGACGACCACACCCTTTCCAACCAAGACTGCGGCCACATGACTACCCCCCAAGCCCCCTCCTTGCCACCAACCGACCGACTACGACTGCGTGGTCTCGTGGGATGGACAAGTCGCGCCGCTTGGGGGGGGGCTCGCGGGCAGGCATGAGACGGCAGCAACGGCGCTCTCTGGCGTGGGTTCCGTCTTCTGGACCTCAACCTCCGCATCCTCGCTCGTAGCCCGTCGGCGCATTGTCGTCATGTCGTTCGTTCCCCTTGGTGGGTTTGATGGCTTCACAATTGTAGTAGCGAGATGATCACGAGGCCCGAATCTCAAGTGAGACCACCATCCCACACCTTGTCCTACTATGGACATCTTATCTCACGATAATTACTGGCGATAGCTATCGGAATAGGACTTCGCCGTAGTGTGTCCGTTGATCGATCAGGCTTCGCTCACTCTCACCCCCCCCTGTTTCCCAATTGGACCCCATCAGATGCGAAAAAAGGGTGTTCGGAATTGATCACTTCTACTGGCCTCGCGCATACCTACCGCGCTTACCCACGAACCTTGGCGATTCTTCACGGCACTAAATTGCGACATCAGCAATCCACTTCCCAACACCCTCCTGGCGTCTCTCAGTGAGTCGAGCGACATCGCAAGGCAAGGGATTGCGGACGTCTTCTGGCCCAATTCTCCCGAGAAGAGGGGAGGGAGCGAAAGGAGGGGTAAAACAAAGATGGCGGTCAACTGGCTCGAATTGTTGGCTCAACCTGTAACTCGTTCTCATCTTCATATCGGCCGCGGGCAGTGATTTATCGATGAGACGCGCGATACGCACCGCCATGACCATATACCGTCATGATTGGTTCAACATTGGAGGCCCAGCGTCACTTCCAGTCGTTCTTTTTCCTTTCTCTTTTCTTTTCTTCTTCTTTGCCTTACCTTAGCCTGCCATTGACTGCTGGATCTAGATCTTGTCACAAGACAGCCAAGTGCGGTTGGTCAATGCCACCAACAATACCTACCTCGCTCGTCATCCGCCGCCACAAGGAGGGGGATACGGGTGAAGCGGCGGTATCGATATCCAGCCTTCCTTATCACCCCTCCTTCTTATCTTATCCCCTCCCAACCGCACCCGCATGTCTCTTACTCCTCCCACCCCCTCAGTACTCTCACATGTGAAGGTACGTGGGGCACAGAGTGCGGCATACAAACGGCCTGCCTGATCTAGCAAGCAGGGACGTAGACCCAGTGGGTCAGCTGGGGCCTGACCGGGCCTGGATTCCTCAGCAAAAGAGCAAGACAATTCTCGGCATGTGTGCATACTGGCAGTGGAATTTGCTTCATCATTGCCCTACTCCGTACACAAGTTGAGTCAATGAACCGTAATCGATGAAACTGAATATGATCAGTCAATTGGCCCCGGACTTCATGTCCGAATCTATGCCGGATTCATCCTTCAAAAACATCAAGTATCTCGCAAAGTTTGTCAGGTGAAAAGCGGCCAAGTCCAAACTTGAGACAAAATGTCTCGGCTGCACGAGAAATGGGCCGGATTTTATCAAGGACTGTACGAGGTACAGCTCGTCACATGGTGCGTCAAAGGTGCCAGCCTGGAAAATACGCGTGGGGTCACTAAAAATCTCAACTGCCATAGTCTCGATAATTGAGGCAGCTACTCGAAACGTTAGCCAGGGCAGTGTGCTTGAAAGTTCTGTCCGACTTATGGCACGATGATGCCAATGAGGCCTCATGATTCCTTCACTTTGTAGACTTTTCGACGCGGCTCTATATATCATTGGGTACCTAAAGACATCAACATTCTCAGAACTCAAGGTCATGTTGATGAATTTGATCAGTCCAGCCGCTCATAGCCCTGCAATTGAGATTCGAATCATCGAACATCACTTCAAAATATTCACTGGCCATGTACAGTCCGTGCAGGTGTCTTTGTAGATTCGGCTTCGAGCAGCAAGGCAATTTTGATATCACTTCGTTCATGACCTCTGTTCCCATGACCATATACTGAATAAATCCATGCATGGATGTCCTCTATGTGTGCTGGTCATATTAACACTTGCAAGAGCTTTAAACCATACATGGAAAACGTTGGCGGGCCTGTTTTAACTATTCTTCTAGTTTGTCAAGCTCTCAGCAATGACGTCTGCGGTCTATCTTGTGTTCCGGTCCAATATCTAATCGAGTCCATAGAGGAGCGAAATGAGCACTACAACGCAGCAACGCGATATTCTCGTGACAATGCCTGAAAGTGATACCCGGCATGAATGCATTCTTGAAAAGATGGATCGATTGGTATATCCCAGCTGATCTGACCCCACAGCTTGCCTCTTCCATAACGTTTGTCTCTTCATTTTCAATATCGTGTCGACGATGCTGAGATAGGCTCCATGTCAGAAACCTTGCCGTTCGTAGCTCAGACGTCCATGAATACTTAACAACTCAACCCTCGTTTTCACAACCGCGGTACCGAATCGAAAGCTCAGTCAAACGAGATGGCCAAGTCTACCAGGCTGATGGAGTCCACCAGAAGAGATCCTCAGTAGCGGGTGCTTCGTTGATGTAGCGCTTCATTAGACCTGACCGCTAAGCCTCAAGGGTTTCTTCCAGGTGTCCAATTGCCCATGCCAGGCATGCATAGAGTCTCTCATTGTCGTTTAACTTCTCGGGACAGTAGATGACACTGAGGAACTTTGGGCAGCATGATCGCCATCCGAGTCGTCGTCTAAATTGGGATCAAACCCTGGCGCCTATTCGACATTGTCGCTACCTGGCGTAGGAATTGCTATACTCACGCGGAACTTCTCAACGAGGATAATGCAAGCAAGGGCTGGAACAATGACGACGAGACATGCCGTGGCCTCATTCACGTCTTCCAGGCAACAGCTTGTCTTCTGTTCCTTACGGGCACCTATCTGCCTTGCAAAGCATTTATGGCCTACCACTGGTTACGCAAGCTCGTTGACCATATGAGGCTACTCTTGCATGCTTATGTGAACAGATTGGCTACCGGAGCAAGGTCTTCGTTCAATGGTAGAAATGTCCCATCAATTGGCCAAGCCAGTCTGTAGAAGTCTTCCCCGTTGATTCACGTGGCGTAGTCGCATATGTTCGCCCATTGCGGAGATACGAGCGTCGAATAATGTCCTGTCCAAGCCGCAGCTGCCTAAGCTAGCCAAGAGTTGAAACTTCTCGTCTAACCTCAGGCAGGATGGTGCTAGCTTTGGTCCCTCATCGGAGTCGTTCATGAGAAATCATACACAACGAGGCTCTCCTTCCCGTTCATGGCTTCCTTCAACACGATGACCATTTCGTCATCAAAGCCTACCCAATTACGTCGGTCGTCCCAGCGGTCTAGCGTCGCCTCAGGCGAGGGCACGACGGTATCTGTGGAAACAGAGCCTGAGGTTGATTTTGGCCTGATCTCGATGCTTTTGCCACTGACGCGTCCCTCGAGTTCCCAGACTCGTATTTCTTCGCCTCGAGAGCTGACACTCACGGCTTTGCCTCTTGTCGTGATTTCAGCGTCGCTGATGCCTGATGTATGGCCCCAGAGACGAATACCTGAAGAAATGTCGAGCTTTGTAGCATTTGATGTACAAATGTGTAGAATCATAGTATTATCTGGTAGCGCAGCCAAAAGATACGGATGGCTGTAGCACAGTGTCGTCGGGCCTTCGGGAGTCTGTATTTGGGACGGAAGCTGCGGGCTCGCAGTCGAGGAAGTCAATGAAACTGTAGGCGCAGCCTTCACAGGCTTAGTGAAAGCGAGTCGTGTTGAGACGATTTCTGAAGCTGGCTGGCCTGCGCCTTGTGGCCGTATCTGTAGATCCTGTATACCAATGGACCATCCTTCCAAAGTAGAAAACGTATATGCAATCGAAGCGATTATATGCGAAGTCACCTGGCGAATAGACAGAGCCAATGGGGCTCTGGATGTGTGTGACTTGAGTGAAGTCAAGAGAATAGGAGCCGGGAGCGGCGTGGTTCCTTGCAATGGGTTCTGGGTGTTGTCACACTTTGACAATGGAGACGCTGCCATGGGCCTTTCTGACTCTGGAAAGGTCTCAGTTTCCGCAGCAGCTTCACTCCCCCTTTCTTTGAGAGTGACAGTGTCTCGTTGGCCGCTGGACGCCACTGGCTTTCCGCCAGAGGATGCTCGTTCAAAATCGTAGAGAGATATCAGAACTGAGTCTGTTGCCGTGAGTATAAAGGGGTGCTGATAGACGATCTCCACCAGTCGGCCGTTGCTGGACTTTTCGTGCTTGTATCTTTTCCGAAACTTGGCTTCTTTAATATAAAGCTCCCAAACGCCAAAGCTCCCGTCCAGAAAACCGACTGCGACGTCAAGTCTCTTATTCTCAGACTCCCGGCCGTCAATCGCTAAGCAAGTAGGAAACGATCCGCAGTTTCCATGCTTGAAGCTGATTTGGGCAATTGGCTCTCTTGTCTTGAGGTCCCAGGCTCGCATGCCAGAAACGCAGTCGGCAGTGACCGCGATACCCTCAATCACTTTGACTAGAGTCTTCCCTAAGCCCGCAGAGTCGAGCAAAGATTCCCCAACCTTCACCTCTTGAACCAAAGCATTACCACTGGCCCAATTGTGCCGTAGTTTGTACTGGCGCTTCCAATCAACAGAATCTCCCAGAGCATTTCTCCGACCCCAGCCGCCGTCGGCCCAGACCGTTCGGCGTGTGGAAAACTGTATTCGACTGCTATCTCTTGCAGAGCCATCGCGAAAACCGGGTATCTTCAAAGCGCGCGGCAGGACGAAGCGATGATAGTAAAGCGTGCGCCATAGCTGAGAGTCGGCAGAAAGGCGGTAGAAACGGCGGGAAACGGGCGAGATACCGAGAAGATTAGAAGTGGACAAGAAGGACAGAATGCGGATGAGGAGCTCGTCCGATAACGAGGACAGCAAGTCGGTGGCGGCGAAGATAGCGTTGTTGTCTTGAGGCCTCGATTTCGAATTCGAATCGTAGGGGTGGGTTTCGGTAAGGCGCGCATGCTTTGTAGGTCTGTGGCGCTCGTCGCTACTGCCGGGCTCATTGCGCCGCTTCCCTTGCATCTTCGAAATCGAGCAAAGCGCTTGCCAAAACCTGCCTTACATGTCCTGTTGTTCAAAGCGTCCTCTGGTCAAAACTGAGATGAGCGGAAGGTGCATCTTCGATTGTGATCATGGTGCTCGGTGACGATGAGGTCCCCATCGAGCATGAGGATGAAGTGCTAAGGCGGTATTATTAATGGTCACTGTCACAGCCACTAAGGTAGGTAGGTACCTTACCTAGGCAAAAGGTGCGGTCACTGTCCGATAAGAGATAAGATAAAGCTCAAACTGAGGGCCTGTGCGCACCTGAGGCGGGAGGCCTGCTGCTCACACACGATATCTTGACCTCGATCATAGGGTATCTCAAAATATTAGACCGTTTTCTGAAAGCAAAATACCTGGCGTACTTTGATCCAATCGGCTATTCTTACCCACTGTTGTAATACGAAGGCATCTCCTCAAAAATTTCCAGACTCCCTATCGCTTACATCAAGGGCTGCGCATCCATTGTATGTTGGTTCTGCGTGGATTCTCAAAGCTAATATAACACCCATTGAGGTGTAAGGAAGTACGACCAGGTACTTGGGCAAACTTGGGGATGATCCTCGAGGGATTGTCTCCTAGCATCATGGTATCACGATTGGGCAGGCTGAAGAGCATTAGATACTTGTTCATGATGCCCTCTTCGTAGTGCTTTCCTCAACAAAAACTCTCAATCACGGAACTAGGTCTCTTACCTATTCGAGACTTGGCTCATCGATGCTGTTGGTCTGGAGCTTGCATCGTGAATGCCAAGATCGAAGTCTGGCCTGGATCTACGACTGGAAATATCAGAAACCATAAAGAGGCCTTGGCAGTGCCCATGGCTGTGGCAGATCGTATTCAGGAGTGGTATACCAAGGAAGGTACTGTGAACTATCAATCATTCATCAGTGAAGTTTCTCATGGACTTGGAAATTCCGATGGAGGGGCTCGGAATATTCCGACGAGGCGATCTAGTCTAGAGGAGCAAATCCATGGTCAATTGTTTGATGCCAACTTCGTGTAAGTTTGTTCGCTTTGGCAAGTACTAAGAATCGACTGGCGATTCTACTGTATACCTACTTATTTTTGGTCCAGGCAAGACAAGGTGTTAGCTGGGCCTGGATTGCCGGCTCTTCCTGCAGGTGGTCTCCGTCTGATGGGTCTGCCAGAGATGGGCAATCGGGGCAGGCAGCCGCGTTCTCGCCGCATGCCTGGTCGATTATCCCATGCTTTTTAATAGCACTATAGTGTCCGTACAATGAGGCACGCGTACCTCTGGTATGCCTCACATCGATTCAAGCACAGAAGATTCCAATTCGGGCACTGGCAGCGAAGACTCCGTGAATTGAACGCCAGAGTTGCGCACGGCCAGACTGCAGTGCAAAACGCACGACGTCCGGATACCTTGGTTGCGCGGAGAGAGTTCCGAGACAGCGATGGGGCTGTGTACGGATAGTGTGACGAACCTCTCTTGAATGATTCAAATCGCACTACATGCGGAGGTCGCCGAGATTCACGGGAGCGCGAGCAGCTCGGACAAGGTGGGGTTTTCTCGGCTTCAATTGGATTCTGCTGGACGGGGTGAAGATGATGAATGGGATCTGAAAAAGACGGGCTGATGAAGAATTTCGGTGAGCTAGGGTACCTAGCTGGCATGCCGACGCTTGAAGCACCTTGAAGCACCGGCGAAAGCTTAGGGGAAGGGCAGAGCACGGAATGATTTCGGGAAAGAGATTTCAAGCTACAACTTAAGGTAATGCAGGTTGTTTTGGCTTCCCGACAGAGACCGCCTGACGGAATACCTTATTCACCACTGTATAGAGAGACCATAAGGTGATGACCGAGTGATGGCATCCGCGGGTGCCCGAGACGTACTGAGGTACTTGTCATAAGGTAGGCCCGCAGCCCATCATGGAAGTGGGCAGGTCGGGCTCGGTAAAGCTGCCGACAGGTCCTTGCCATCATTCACTGTGGACTAAGACCTTAACACGTATGGAGAGTAAGGTAAGGTAGGTATTCGTACGGGTACGGGAGCATGCTTGTATGTACACATTAACTCACCCCAACACCGAGACCATAAGCCAATCTGCCTCTAGTATGGTATACCTTACTGCAATGCCATATCGTACGGCGGTCGAATAACTGAGCCCCTACAAGGTACCCAAGTGCTCAGGGATGGTCGCATGTGCGGAAAGCTGTACGTCTACCGGTATTCTTACTCGGTATATGGGTATCCGTATGTTTACCGTCCACGTCCACGGGCAATGAGAGAAGGCGGTGTCTTTCAAGTACTGCTTTACGTACCTTAGGTAGTCCAGGTAGCACGTCCTGAACCGGACCTATTTCATTGGTTGTCTAGGTCCGCCTAGCCAGGATGGCGCAACGCAATGTATTTCGTACTAACCGTGCCCAACTTGTTATTACCTACCTTCCTACCTGACCACGCTTACCCAGTAGATAGATACTTATTGTAGAGAGGGGTCGCTAGCGAGCCTCGCGCGTTCTCAACTATCTTACCACACAGAACACCGATGCTCACTTTACACTAAGAGACCTCAAACCTCAGCCTCACATTCATCCAAATATCAACCGCGGTCCGCCAGCCTAGGCCGTCAGTTGTACCTCCTACCAAAGCTCAACAGTTCCAGAATTATCGTGATCGAGCTACACTGCCACAGCTACGTTGTATAAATCAGGGATCGACAAAATAAGCTCATTCATCGGTTCCAATACCTGCGTTGCCGTTGCCTTTTCCGCATCTCGATTCATAGTTTATTCTCCTCTCCACTCCTCCCACACACAAACGCACCTTCTGCCCACTCCCCACGCTCTTCTCTCAATCCTTCAATCACTCGCTGGCTCTTTGTAAGCCCTTTCTTACGGACCCCCTAGGGACAGATCCTCGTCCCCCAGTGGCCATGACCCAGACCTAGACTACCACCATACTGTCGGTTCTATTCACTCCGCGTCCCTCTCAGCTGATCACCTCTTGCTTGCCAACCACCCGTAGTGCAACTCATTCGCTCTCGTTCTGAAGGAGGTATCGAAAAGGCAACTACATCTCCGATCCAACAAACGTTCCCGTTGTCTCCTCTAGCCGCCCAAGTTCTCGGTTCCCGAGACCATTCAACCACCGTCCTGCAGCGCCCTCCTTACGGGCCCTGCCTTGGCCAATAGTTCAGAGTAGACCTTGGCGCACACTGGCACACACCGCCGCAAAGCACGGCTTAGGCACGCTGCAGTGTTGGGTCTGCGTTGTTCTTTATGAACATGGACTCTGATTCCCGGTCCGCGGGCCCCGATGACCAGGGCCTCCGTCGAGCCGTATGTTACATACATCCATATTCAGACTATTTTGCTTCACACGATCCATCAGACCTCTTTCTCACCAGTAAAACCTCGTCCACTAGAATCAAGTACTGACTTCAATTCTTTGTCGTCTAGTGTGATCAATGTCGCACCCGTAAAGTTGGTCCCCCCAATTGCGCTCGTGTCTGTTTCTTGACCAGCCCTCGATCGAAACTGTACCCTCCAAGCAGAGCATTCTTCCTGCCCGCTGTTGCCCCTCCCTCCTCCTCCTACTGCCTTGCGCCAAGGAGGTATAGCCCGCGCATTAAATCGAGAGTCCGGGTTTGCTGACAAGAACACGTTTTGGCTTTGTGCTACAGATCCGTTGTGATAAGAGTTCGCCATGTTCCAACTGCCGTATAACTCAACGCTCCTGCAGCTCAAACGGTGTTGGTCAGAAGCCGAAGGAGCAGAGACATCGTGTGCTCATTTCTCTTCAATAGTACGCCATCCACCTCGCCTTTATTTGTCCCCTCCCCAAGTGCTCTACCTCACTTCATATCCATCACTCCCGGATTGACTTACGGTCTTGTGTTCACCAACACGGCACCCTGATACCACTGGGCTTGCAAAATCTGACGGAGCGAAAAACCAATGTTGACATTGCCATAACCAGTGAGAAAAAGATTGATCTCATCGAGGAACGACTTTCGAATATCGAGGAGCTCCTGCGGAGTCTCAGCAACAACCCTCCTGGCGTAGGTGGTCATTCATGGGATACCACTAGGGCCAGACATACGACGCCCTCAGCCTCGACCATCGGGGATGCTTCTGTCCTATCCCACGACGGTGCAGACTCGGATTCAGCTTTCGAGGGCGACCTCTCTCTGACTGCCCACACAATGTTTGCCAGCGACTTTATCGAAGACGCCGTGCAGAGGACATCGCTCCAGGACGTGGCGCCCAACATGCAAGCTGCGCTCTCTTCCCTCCGGCAGATCGTCGCTATGCAGAGCAAGGCATCTTCCAATCGAGATTTCCGGTTCCGTACGCATCAGCCGCTTCCTCCAGGAGGTCTGCCTGAATTGCCCATGCCGCCGATGAACGCCGTCGTTGCTTTGCTCAAGCACATGAAAGGTCCTCTCATTCCTAATCTTCAGAGTTCAACAGACTGATATGAGAGTAGTTTCTCCACCCAGCATCTTCTCACTCGCATGCTCTTTCCTCGATGTTGATGACCTGGCCGAGCTCTGCCGGAGAGTGTACTTCTGCACCGACAATTTTGCTGATACCACCTTCATCATAGTGAATGGGGCGCTCTTCTACTTGTTCATGGAACAAGCATACCTAGCATCGGATGCGACTGCGCGCGAAGAGTTTGAGAGGTACCAACATATGTGTCAGAGCAATCTAGAAATGGCGCTAGCTTCCTTGCCTTTGATGCTCCCTGCAAAGGTCGAAAGCATAGAAGCCTTGCTCCTGGCGGTCCGTAAAAAGCCTTGCTGTGCTTGTTTGTAGACGATTCAGCTGACAGTGACTGCAGGCCGTTTATGCTGTGGATGTATCTAAAGCATCACTCGCGTGGCTTTTCACATCCACTGCTGCAAGCTTGTGTCAGACGCTTGGTTACCACCGCGTATCGCAAGTGAGGAGCGAGAGCGCCGGGCCTAGAGACATCAAGACCCTCTTGTTCTGGCATGTGTACATGCTCGACAAAACATTGTCTCTGAGAACGGGGAGAGCATCGGTCATCCAGGACTGGGACGTCACCTTGCCACGGCGGGTCGACAACACCATGGTTGCGGATCCATGGGGTCTCATCATAACAACGTGGATCAAGCAGGCTGAGATCCAACACCGCGTTTATGAACAATTGTTTGACTCCACTATCTCAACGAGACAAAATATCAAGCTAACCTGCATGGCAGATACAGTCCACTTGCTCTGGGTCAGTCGCAAGAAGAACGCATCGAGACCGTGCGTCGCCTGGAAAATGAACAAAAGACGATCATGGCCGCTGCGTCGCATGTGCGGGAGCAGGCTCTCTTCGGCCTCAAGGCCCTCAACGCATCGTCTATCTTGGACATACACCTGCGAGGCGACGAACTGACATTTCAGTCCACATTGACTCTCATCTACAGAGCATTGCCAGCGCCTGAAGGTTCGCCAACACGGTTTTCCCAGGAATGTATAGACACGGCGCGATTTGCCATGCAGCTGCACCTTGAATGCATGCAGAGAATTGCTGAGGAAGGACGGCATCTTAAAGCAGTCTATATTCACTGGTCAGTCGAAGCAGTAGACTGATTACGATCCATGCTGACTCCTACGTAGGGCAATTCTCCTCACGCCTTTCACGCCCTTCTTCGTCCTTTTCTGTCACGTCATTGACACTTCCAATGCTGGCGACCTCAAGAAGCTGAATGAGTTCGTTGCTTCACTTCGACCCGCATGCACCATGTCGGAGCCTGTAGAGAAGCTTCACCAGCTCTGTTCAATGCTCTGTAACGTTGCGACTCTGTACGTGGAGAGCAAGTCCCAGCAATCAAATGAACGCGGCCCCATCAACGACGAATTCGATGTCTATCTGAGCGCGTTGGGATTCCCACCCACGGAATATCCTGCTCAGGGCATGGATACTAGCGATATGTCGCAGCCTACCCTTCAAACTGCCCAACTAGGCAACTGGTTTTCGGGTAGCCAGTACATGATGGGATTGCTTGAAGAAGACCTATCCCAGTTCAACTAGACTGGCTGCGAAGGAACGGCCGGAAATGAGCCATCGCATTCCCGCCGGGTTGAGCACAACTGACCGATCGTGGCCTCCCTAACACGATCTTGTCTCCGAGAGTGACTCGAGGATGCGAGGCTAAGCAGTGGCTAGCAATGTGAGAGCTGAGGATTGGTTCCAGCTTTCCCCACATGACATTGTGAGCCCATATAGAATGGAAATATTGTCGAAACGCCTCATGGCCTTAATCTGCCCCCGTGTCCGTTGAAGCTTTAGCTGGCGCTATTGCATAATGTTTGTCGTACGTTTGGCTTGAGCTTTCACTCGGTGGGGTGTTGCGGGTCATAATGCTCGTAGTCTTCGTCGTCGGTATCGCTCTCAATCAGGACATCCCGTTCGCGTGCGTTCGCAAGTCTGTCTGCCTCTAGGGCTTGGCCGACCTTTGATCTCGGGGCGTCTAGCGCGTTTGGGGCATCGACGGGGGCAAATGCCGATTTAAAACCTGACTTCTTGAAGCCGCCCTTCTTAAACCCTCCACCTGCCGTAGACTGCTGCGGCTGCTCGTTGTTGGCGAGCTTGATGCTGACAAGGCCATCCGCCTTGGCTTCAGCCTTCCGAGCTCGGGCGCCGGCGTTCGGATCGCGAACCATAGCCTTCATGTCTTTGAGGCGTTGTTTATGGCTGTGGTCATAGCTACTAAGGTGCGCCTCGTAATCGTTCATGCGAGAGTATCCTTTCGAACAGAGGCTACAATAGAATGATTGCAGGGCTTCGCGGGCGGCTGCGGTCTGCGCCGGGGGCAGTGTTTGGTGTCGCTGGGCAAGCGCATGTAAAATTAGAAGTTTGGTCAAGCAGAAAGAAAACTCAGAAGTTCTCTTACCGGAGGCATGTTTGTGGAATTAAGATAGCGAAGAGCTACCGGTCAGGCGCGACGGGAATATGTGATGGTTGGTGGGTATGGGAAAATGCTATCAGCGTATGTTTGGAGTCCTGGCTGAGATGCTACCAAGCTCGCAGGTTCCGAAGTCCCAGCAACTTGGACCCACAACATTGTGCGGGGAGCCGCAGCCCGCCCTGAACATCACAGATACCCGAGGTACTCCGTATACCACACATGGACACCCTGCCGTGAAAGACTTGATCTACATCTGGCCGACAAACGCATTCTAAGTGTAGAAGTTATATCATTATCGGGGGAAACATCAGTTTTTCCACCTAGACAAAGTGGCCAGGCTATGGACATAGTAAGTTATGGATGAGTGAAGGTGAGGCAAGGCTACCTACCTTAAGCTGGGTAAGGTAGCGTGAAGGTCTTGCGGCTCTCCAGATTGACGCCAGGCCCACTAAACCTGCAGGCTCAGACGCGGGAACTGACAAGTGCTGCCGCCCTTGCAACGTCAACCTATGACGTTTCGAGGATTGATCAGCTGCCCGGTTTGACAATTGGAAGCTGGCCAGCATTTCTAGCTTCACCTTCCAAGTCCCTGATCTGTACAGCTCGGATTCGAATTGCACATACTCTGCTTCCAAAGACCGGTCTCGGTCGTGCCGGCGCTTGCGTAGCCATGGAGTCCAGATCCCTTCACTCGAAACCGTCGGAAGAGACTCTCATATCGCTCCTTCAACTAGACCCGTCCCCAATCGAGACGCCACCGGCGGACGTTGATAAAGATCTTCCTCCTCTGCCTGAAGATGCCCTAGAGAATAGCATTGGCTCTCTCAGATCAACCTCTTCTGCGCCCGGATTAAGCGGAAGCGGCAGCGGTCACAGCGCTATCTTCTACCGTAAGTTGCCGAATACGAATGCAGAGACAGAACCTGTTGCCTTCAATTGCAAGTTAGATTGGCTAATGCGTACAAACTTTCTAGTAACACGGGTCCAGAAGTTCTCTTCCTACCTAGTACCAGTTTTCACATCACTTCACGTCCTCAACACCTCGATAATACCACTCTTTGCGCGATCAGTCCCAGCTTCCGAGGCATACCTGCTACTTTCGAGGGAGATTTACCAAACATCTCTTACGGAGCCACTTCTCGTAGCGTTGCCCATTGTTGCACACATTACCTCTGGATTCGCTCTCCGCCTAGTTCGCAGATCTCAAAATCTAAAGCGTTATGGAGGCAACACACCTGGCATGTACGCCTTGTATCGAGCTCAGACCGGCAAAACATCCCGGACCTTGACCTACAATAGCGTCAACTCCGCTAGCAGGATATGGCCGTCCGTTAGCTACATAACTATCTCTGGCTACATTTTCACGGTTCTTCTCGCTGCTCACGCAGGCATTAATAGGATCCTTCCTCTTCAAGTTGACGGCGATAGCTCAAACATTGGCTTGGGCTTCGTTTCGCATGGGTTTGCTCGACATCCCATCATCTCGTGGGTTGCATATACCGGTCTTCTCGCAATAGGCTGCGGACATATGATTTGGGGCGCAGCAAAATGGCTGAGTCTGGCGCCAACAGCTATGGGGTGGAGTGGTAGTGGACACAATGTCATAGACAAAAAGGTACGACGGCGGAAAAGAAGAGCGTGGTGGGCGCTTCATGGCGCCGCTGTAGCTGCGGCCGGCATCTGGGCTGCCGGCGGATTGGGCATTGTGGCAAGAGGTGGTCCGACAGACGGCTGGATTGGGAAGATTTATGATGATATTTACAGCAAGATTCCACTTTTGTGACTTAGATCAGGAGATAGTATACAGGACGTACGATACCCAACCAACAGCAATATTCACAGCTAGCAACACCAACTAGCATAGACTGTCGGTCGCTGTACTATTCGTTTATTCAGGCAAAAGTCTAGCTTGTCATATGGCCGAGGGTATTTGACACTCCGCAGGCAAACAGGGTTGCCCTAAAAAAAGTGAGAGAAATGGATTTCTTCTACCTAGCTAACCAGCGCTATCACACGCCTGTGTACAAGGATCATGACCGCAACCTGTCAATAACACCAGCGTCGAAGAGAAAAAATCCCTCCCAGACCTAGCTCCCCAACATCTCCCCTTACTCTGTGGCGCAATTCTCATGTATACAGCACCATCCTAGATTGTAAGCAAAGCCTTAGCTTTGGAAGAGAGACCGGGATGAAACCCGACGGTTTGTATCAACGAGTCAACTCTGGTTGAGCCTAGTTCTTTCCTCCGTTGTTGCCGCCGTTGTTGTTGCCACCGCCATTGTTTGTACCAGGGATGAAGCCACCGCCTGTGAGCTGTGGGCAAGACTTCTGTGCAGCCTGGGCAGCCTTGATCAGGTCGTTCTGGTCTTTGCAGGCGCCGCTGACGCAGTTGACAAGTGAGTTGACGTTGGCCTTTTGGCAGTAGCAATCCTTGATCTGATCTTGGGCGCAGCCACTCTTCTGGATGTCATCGTTGACACACTGCTTTGCGCAGTCGGGCACGTCAAGGCTGTCAGCAATGGCCATGCCGGCGGCGGCAGCGAGGATGGCGATGAATGATGTCTTCATTTTGAATAATGATGGATATGTTGAGAGACTATATCGTGTGGTGTAGTCTAGGATGGCGTATATAGAAATTATCGAAGGGGTTAGTTGTGTTGTAATTGTTAGGTGTGAATGGTAATGATCGCATTTATCTTTGAGTGCGGTTGTTGTGAGCACTTATATATGTTAATCAAACAGGTATCACAGCAGTAGTCTTTGGTGATTGTTTCTTTTCTCATCCTTCTGGTATTCGCCCCTGACGTATCCTCGTTCCATCATCACTGTCATCGGCGATGGAACTTAGCATTGCCTTGTTCGTCACATCATGCTGATTGGACATCGGGAGAAGATGACCGCGCAATATGATTAACTAGGTTTTCGACGCTCCGCCGAGCAGGAGCACAGGAACGCAGGAGTGTGAGAGTGCGTCCCTAAAACCTAAATCACGAACTTCCTTGGGACCGAGAGTACACTGCAATGACCAGATCCCAACTTCTATACGCTTTGCTCCCTTTTCCCCGCCGACATAGCCTGCTAGTGCTGTTAATCAGCACTTTCAGGATCTTCTGGGTTTGACAGTCAGCGCCCAATTACGTCAATCGTTGTTTGGGGGAGAGTGGGTAACATTCTGGCGTTGATGCTGGAGAATCTTTCACTGCCTAGCTTGCATGAGAGACTCCAAGTCATGGGACGAGCCGTTCGGCTGAGGCAAAGGCCTGCGTTTTGATCGCTTCGAATCGCATAGAGGGCTGTGCCATTCCGTATGACGGCGTGGCCGGCAACTTCAAGACGCAGAGCCGCGTCAAAGCCATGCGCAAAGATGACTGAGCACCCAACGGCTGTGCTTCTGTCTGAGCATTCTGGTGGCTTCGCCGAATTCCTGTCAAGTAAGCGACCTTCGAGACGTTTTCCAAAGTCAGCATCACCGAAACGAACGTCACATTATGGGTCCTGTGCGATTCCCTCAGGATCGTTCCGTCGTATAGGTAATCAACACTGTGTGCTGGCCACCAGCCTCTTGCTGCCCAATTCGGGGTACTGCGTTGTCGTGGAGGTCCGGGTGTTTTCAGTAGAAATTTGTCTCTCGAAACGACATAGCCCTCACGTGCTACAACCATGCCCTTTCTTGACGATGTTTCGTTCGGAGCCTTGGACGTTGCACAGCAAATTTGCGGAGTTTAGTGCCCATGTCAAATATCCAGTACTGGCATATGTTGAGCTGCGTAGTCCCGTTCCTCATATATTAGATAAGTGGCTAGGGCCACTGAGTGGCCTGCCAAGCTTCGACATGTTGTACCGTCGCCAAGTCCGAGTTTATCAGTCGGGGAAAGTTAAACAGGGTTGTAGGGCTGTTTCCTATTCCACCCTGTCGTTATCCTGTTGGGCTTGTTGCTCCCTTCGAACACTGATCCTGGGCAAGTTGTCATGATTGTGAGGATCTAGAAACTGGGAGATAGTATTTGGTCCAGCTCCTTATATTGCTTGGTTGGATCGGACTGATAAGCTTGTCTTATCCCGGGCACAATATGGAGCCGGTTCTGGAGTAGAAAACTATATCTAAGCTTTTTCTCGGTGGCTCTACATGGTTGGTGCATTCCCTATGTAGGCAATAGCCGTCGGTTTGTTCACGTCAGTCATCTTACTGGAAGCATTTTCTCCAACACTTACTGAGCTCGATGAAAGCCAGTGGGTGGATCTATCAGTGGCAGGTTGGTGGTGACACTAGAGTCTACCGTCTACCTTATCTAGATCTCCATCATGGGTTAGACCATCGTCATCATCAAAACCGAACCCCCTATGCGCGAGTAATCCCGCAAACAATATAAATTGGAAGCCCAGAAGAAGCCCAGGAAAGTCATGATGATAAAGATAGGCTAAATTATGAAGACAGTCGTGGAATATGGAGTTGGAGATAGAACGTACCTATGTCGAAACATTGGCCGGGGAGACGTTGCCATGAGATGGCAGCATATGAACATAGAAAATCGGCGTCACATTCACAGTTGTTGATTTTCCGTGGTTCTTCCTGCCAGGCGAGAAGAGGACGGGACTGCCCGACCAGCAATACTTAGCACCACCACCTTCGAGCCGGTGAAATCGCTCGATGTCATGCAGCTATTCAATGTAGCCAATGACGAGTCAACCTCCGGGAAATTCGCTGTTATTGCCACTATAAGGGTATCTCGCAAACTGCAACCGCCAACACAAGTGGACGCCCCTGTAACCATCCGTCCCTTGGCGCCGATGAACCTCGACTACCACAACCCCATTCGGTCGGTAGACATAGCGACCATTGCCGAGTCTTGTTCGGCTTGTCTAGCCGAATACTCTTATCCACGTACTGAGCCTGAGCAGGGTCCCGGTCCACCATAGCTGTCCTTATCTCCCGTCTTTGTGAAGACGATATCTGGACGGCCCTTCGGGCAGGACTCACTGTCGCTCGGGCCGTCGAAGCCGTGAATAATGGAACACGAAGGCGTCGATGAGTTCTCTGGTATGTAAAGCCACCCATTACAGCCGTCAGGAGTTCCAAGGTGGCAGATTGTGCAGCAATCCTGAGCGCTTTTGGCCGGGTGTAAGTTGAACACCCAGCCGCCGCCACCCTCATCAATACCAATCCAGTTGACTTCTCGGATGAACTTGGACTCAACACACTCGGGAACCTATGATAAATGGTCAGATGCCGAAGAAAATATGGACCATCATACATAATGGTATGACTGGCGAGTAAGGCCTGCTGCTTACCGGCTTCGGAGTAGAGGATGGAGCTGAGAGCGAGGTTAGAGAGGTAGCCGTGGAAGAAGATGACGATGATGCGGCGGTTGAAGTCGCAAGGTTCTCAGCGCTGCCTGGACCAGACGTGTGATTCTTGATGGACAGCGTGACCGTGAGAGGAACCACGATGGCGAGAATGGGAAGACCTATGCATATACCGATCATTGCCTTCCAGTTCCAAAGACGTGAGACTTTCTCAGCACCAATAGTCGAGGCGGCATCGTCACCCACATGGACCGAGTGAAGTGTTTCGTTCTCCCTGGTGCCGTCATTGCCGCCTTTGCCAATCCCGAGATCTGTCATTGGAATACCAACGGCCTCAGGGGCAGAGTAGGCCACTACTTGCGGCAGCGGATTATTGGTTTCCTCAACCCACTTGATAGTCGTCATGGTGGCTTGTCGGGGGAGGAATGCGACTGCAAAAGAGAGAAAGAGCGATGCGAAGGCAGGTGCGACTACCAAGGAAGGCGAGTCTGGCGAGAACTGAAGATCGGTGAAGTGAAAATAAGATATAGAGGAATTGTCAGTCCCTTTGGTCTGTCTGGTGTCGTCGCGAGAGACTTCCGTAGAAAAAAAATGAGTGGTGTATGTTTGTTTGCCTGACAATGGAAGCACGGAAGGCGTGGCGTGGTAAATGAGAAGTTTGTCCCGTGCGACTTTTACGACGAGGTGGACTTTGCGCCAAAGCCAACGAATACACAGCTGGGAATAAATGCCAAGCCGTTCAGGCAAGTCGGTGAACAACGAACGAGATAGGTACCGGAGCAAACGTCCACCGTTCTAGAATAACAAGAAGCCCTCCCTAGAGGCTAGTGGTACCGCAGATCTAGTCTACCGGTCAACGCACGACTATCCGTCTTCTTATTACCACTATTACTATGACTACCATACTATGCCTTCTGAGGCTCATTCCGTACGGCATAGATATACAAGAAGATATGGCAGTAATAGCAACAACAGTAGCAGCAGTAGCAACGGTAGTAGGAGTAGGAACACGAACAATGGGATTAGTGATGGAGCGGCAAAGTATTGTGTCACTCACCTGTACGATCTCTCTCTGCTGCCTTCAAGGCTAATTCTAGACTGATGCCTCGTTGTTAGTCTTTCCCAGCTCATACATCATGGGGGGTGGAGGCTTCCGAGAGTTCTGGGATGCTGTGGCCTCACAGCACAGGGAAGAAGAAGGAGCAAACAGGCAACCTTTTTGCTAGTCCACATACTTTCACTGGAACCCGAGGCCCGTATTCGGCGTCTGGTAGTTGAGGGGCAGTACCATGTGCTGATCGAGACAAGGTCGCTGACCTACCTTGTGGCAGCCTCCTTAAGAAGGCCGAACTTTCTTTCGACGATTGGCCAATGGACCGCCTCAACCATAAAAAGCAATGCCCAGTCCATGTCTATGTGGTAGGATATGACAACCTATATTGCGGACCTCTAGTTAAAGAGTCAACTGGGCCGAAGGCTGCGAATATAGATCTCGACTGAATAAGCCCGACTCAGAAGAACTGAGTAGTAGAGGACCTCAAAACGAACCCAGGGGGGTCATCTAATGGAATCCGACATCCGATCATCTATTCTATTACGTCTAGTCATGTTCTACGCCCAAACCAAGACAACTGTGTCGGAGCTCACCAAAACATGAGTCTCCTTTACTGAGTCAGAGACTTGGCGTCGCCATCCTTGAGCTTGCCAGCGCCGACCAATCTCTTGACCTCCTCGCTCCAGACACCCTTGATCTCATCAGCCACCTTAAGGCCGTTGAGCTTGCCAGCCAGAGCCGCAATTTCGTCAGGGTCGATCTTGCCCTGGACGAGCTCGACGTCACCGAGAACAGAGTCAATCGTAGCAGCGGAAGGCTCGCCAGAGGCAAAGTAGTTGGCGTCCTTGACCGAACCCTTGAGAACACGCTTGTTCTTCTTGACAGCGTTCTTTGCCGCCTCCTTGGCCTTCTTCGACTGCTCTCTGTCGACCTTAGCCTTCTCTTCTGCATCCTTGGCAGCCTTCTCCTCGGCCTCCTTCTTGGCCTGAGCCTCCTCGAGGGCCTTCTTCTCGGCGGCCTCCTTTTCGAACTTCTTCTTGTTCTTGGCAGCGTTGGCCTCTTGTCTGAAACGCTTGATGCGCTCGTCGCTGGCCGAGCAGTCGTCAAGCAACTTGCGAAGACGAGCGTTATCCTCAGCCTTCTTCTTCTTGCGGGCATTAGCATTCTTGCGTTCCGTGTGGCGCTTCTGATCGCGGTTTTCGTTGTCGTCGGGGACATCCTCATCGAGATACTCGAATGTTCTCCAGCTGTCAAAGTTGTACCAGAAGTTGTAGAAGTCCTCCACGTGCTCCTTGGAGGACTTGTCGTCACCAAAGGTCGGTACCGGCTGGGTTTTGGAGAAACGACCTTCAGCCTTGAAGACGTTGCTCCAAAGCTTGTAGAATGTGCTGCCACCCTTGGCCAGTTGCTTCTTGGTGGGAGGATCGACGTCGGCCTTCTCGTCGACTGAGTCGTACTGCTGACGCTTGATGGGGTCCAGGAGAACCTCGGTGGCCTTCTGGATGCACTTGAAGAAGTTGTCGTCGTCGACAATACCAGCAGCGGCCTTCTTGTCCGGATGGTGCTTGAGGACCTTCTTGCGGTGGGCGCGCTTGATCTGATCCTCAGTGGCCTTCCAGCGATACTTGGTCAGACCCAGAACCTGGTAGTGGTCTTGGTTCTATAGGAGTCGGGAATCAGTCGTCGATCGCTACAGACGCAAAATCTCGTATATGAGGGGCAGTCACCAACCTTCCAGTCCTTGGCATCGCGCTGAAGCATCATAGGGTCCTCGGCCTCGCTAATCTCGCCGTCGTCTTCATTCTCGACATTCTTAGTCGCCTCTTGAGCCTGGATACGATCATCCTCGGAGAAGGTGCGCTTGTGGCGGGCCCGGCGAGCGTGGGCAAGGAAGTGAGGGCCGACAGGCTCAAGGCTTCGCTGAGTGGCAGCAGAGACTTTGCCGACGGTCTTAAAGTCCTTCTCTGCGGACCATCCCTCGGGAACGACCGGGAGGACGTGAGGAACAACAATGGCGGAAGCCATTTTGATAGATGCGAATAAAGTGGTTTATCGCAATCGATGATTGTGTGTCTCGAAGAGCAAAGACGTCGTTGATTTCAAAAAAAATAAATCCAGGAACGTGGGGTAGAGTTTTCTTTGGAGAGGGTGTGGGTGGCGCTAGGACAATGGGGGGGGGGGGGCGTGTCCCTAAGATTCTCCGGATGCCGGGAGCATTTTTGTGTCGAGTGCCTGAGCCGATGTCTATGGAGGCACCTGGTTCATATTTAGAAAATCACTTTTTGTTCCCTGCGAAACATATGCGCCAGTCAGGCACCTTCCTCCTGACCTCATAATTGTCCTAAGCGTATTGGTTTCCTCGACAGCTCCACTGCTTTTACTATGTCTCTGCCTGCTTACCGACACCTCTGGCGCGCGGCGCGAATCGCATTCAAGGGTTTGGGTTTCTCTCGTCTGTTTGAGTATCTGTTATTGACGTTTCTTCTTTCGTAGGAGATGACCGAGTCCTCACAGCAGCGCAGCAGCAGATACGGCAAGGTTTCAGAGATCAAGCAACACTCAAGCCGACAGACCCTTCCTACAGCTCCGCCATCCAGAAAGCTGAAGATATTGCTAAGATCCTGAGAGAAAATGTAGTTCAGGGGAAGCAGGATGATTCTCGTGTCTTTAGTAAGTTGCGGGCATCGATATACGGCCACAACCTGTGTTGGCTAGTATACTGACGAATACACTGCAGAGTTGCGCATTCACGAGGACACCGAACGTGGAGACAACGACTCTATTAAGACGGCCGGTGGCGGGTCAGCAACAATGGGCGGGTGTGGTTGCAGTTGAAGGGAGGACATCGAGGCGAGTGTGGCATATGAGAGATGCCTGTAATATTGTATAACAAAACATATGTATAACACAACCCTTGATACCCAGGCAGTTGGTATGAAGCCTTCCACTCCATCCCGATTTCCGGTCGTCAAACCCTGACGAAATCAATGACGCCTAAACTCCCTTGAGACGCTACCCGTGTTTCCTTGGTCCCTCAAATCTTAGTCGCCCTGTAGACTAACATACTGGGCGCCATCGTCTGCGCCTGGCGGGGGTGCAACGACTGGTGCAGTTGGGGAGTGAGCGGCGTTTCCTACGTCCGAGCGACCGGCAATCTGCCTCTTTACACCTCTGCCATCCGCTCCACGCGCGTTCGCCTGCCCTCTTCGAGCATCCATGAGCATCTGTGAACGCTGCTCCTTGTCCATCGTCCCGATTGCTTTGGGGACACCCCATCGCACACGCAACGGGCATCCTGCAATAACGGCACGACCCTGACATGATGCAGCAGCTTTCTCAGCCGCCTCTCTCGTTTCGTAGTTGACGAATGCGCAGTGTGACATATGGGAGCAAACCAGACTCTTGAGTCTGCCATGCGTTTTGAAAAAATCTCGGATCTTGTGCTCAGGAAGGTCGTCCTCGATCCCGGTGATGAAGAGGGACATGATGTTCTTGTCAGCCGGAGGCATCCAATCCTGTGGTCCAGGAGGCAACTGTGCAGCGCTTGGAAAAGCTTGCTTCGGCCTGCCCGACCTCGCACCTAGAGCTGCGGCAGCTCTCGAGTCTCTGGTTCGGATAGGTCCTGGACCACCGACACCGGCGCCGACGGCTGGGTTCCCACCTAGTCCACCGCTTGAGCTGCCTTTCTGACTCTCGTCGTCGGCATTCTCGACGGCACGGCCCTTTCGAAAGTACGGTTTACTTGCAGCCAATCTGCGCAGGAGTTCTCTAGCCTTTTCGTCCGTTTTTTCGTATTCTTCGACTCCCGCGCGACCTTCTTCAATGGCGAGTTCGTTATTTTGCGCAAAATATTCGCGGTTGATGTCAGACGATGGCCCCGGGGCTACCATCTTCAAGGCTGCATCGCGAACCACGATGGGAAGCCCAAAGGAAAGGTCCAGCATGCATGCCTGGCAACAGTTTTTGAGGCGCGCGCAGGTCAAGCAGATGTTTGTTCGCTTCTTTCGGCCGTGGGCTCGGTCAGCACTCCAGCTGAAGACAGTGAAAGGCCTCGTACACTACGACGAAGTGTTAGCAGAATGCTGAACGTTCAAAATAGAGTGGCGGGGAAGGTAGCAATACCAATTTGCACTCGGAGCCATAATCCTCTTTCAACATTTTGACGTAAGGATTCTCTGGCAGACAGTTTTCGCAAACAGAAGGGAAATCAGTCGATTCCCAGCCTGAGCGATTCAGGTCTTGTTTGATTTGGGGTGGCATGGCGCCTCGGGGTTCGCAGAGCTCTGCGACAAGAGCGGATCGTGATGTGAGGTGGTCGATGATACGGATCGTGAGATTTTTCAGTGTGGCGAGCAAAGAATCCTGATGTCGCTCGCGAAAGTACGTAGGAATGAACGTCGAGCGCGGGTCCGCCCGCGCAGGGTTCAATCATTACCTGGTACCTACTCACTCCAGCCTCCACGTAGGTACGGCTACGGAGTCCATATCTAAAAGTGTGGCGTCGAGTTGCTATCAGTGCTTCACGTCCCGCCTCTTCACGTGATTTACGCCACATTTGCAAGCTACCTAAGCCAGTCACCAAATAGGTACCTTATCTATTCCCCGTACACGCAAGCCTCGTTCGGTACCTTAAGGTACTCCAGTTATATAGAGTTAACTGGATAGCCTGGATTCAAGGCATCACGAGTACGAATAGTGTGTGCTATGTACATGTGAATTACCAGAGGCGGAGGAAATTCCCGATCAATGATGCCCTCCTGGTCGAGTTGTGAAGTCAGGGTAGACGGTCGTCTCCAAAACCCCGAAGATGCTCTTGAGTCGTAAAACGCATCAACAAGTACCTAGGTAGATCGACTGTTGACAGGACTGGTTGATGGTACCTACCTGGATATTCGCATATTTCTAGAACCAGGTAGGTGGCGGGTGCTCAAGCCCAACCACATCAGGAAATAATCTGGAAGGCGCCTCAAAGGCTAAGATGTATGTGCATAGTGTGTCAGTCTGTCAGATCGTGCTAGGTGGAAGAACCATAAGCTGTAAATCATTATCAGCTGTTCGAATTCGTATTCGGATTGGACTGCCCCTGGCCGGTATGCATATGTTTCCCGCCCAGCCGTCATCTCACCGCCTGCTCAACAAAGCAAGTATCAGAACCCTTTACGCCCCGCGATTGGACAATTGCCAGAGATGGGACCCTGTGGCCAGGTCTTTGTCAATTTGAACTCCAGAGATCCCTGCAACCACTAGGTGAATGGACATTGGACAACAATCTGGTCTCGCGTTTTTCATCTCATTTTATTGTACCAGACTTTGCCTGGTGGCAGGTACTACCGTGCTGCGGCCTATCACTAGTTATTGGAACGCTCAGGGACAGTGGACTGGGAGCCTGAGAGGGACTAGGAGGGGGATGTTGGAAATTTGACACAGCCAAAACGAGACGATCTCAACCGTTGCCGCGTCCCTTTGCCTCCTTTTCCCGCTTGATACTTTGTCACTACTGAAAAAAGCCTACGCCCCCGCTCTCCCGAATACCAACCCGATTGCCCGTCCTACCTTACCGATCTCGTTGTCCTGCACTTTCAATTTATTCCTTCTCCTTCCTTCCCTCCTTCACCCTTCAGACCAAGTGCTTTGCAGTCTTTTACTGTGTAGCTCTCCATCAAGTTTCTCTTCCTGCAAACAACACTCCTACACCTTGTCTATTCACTACTCGAAACAATGGTCACTTCAACAGCCTCTAACCTCGAGCGCGAGGACCACGCTCGCGATGCTCAATTCAACAAGGCACTGCACGGTACGAGCGCTCAGGCCACCGGTGGTCTTGCCGCCATGTTCAGCAAAGGCCGTGATGCGAAGCAGGCTGCCGTCGATGAGTACTTCAAGCACTGGGACAACAAGGCTGCAAAGGACGAAACTCCCGAGGAGCGCGCAGTATGCAACCCGAACTTTTTCAGCCTTGAACCTATCTTTACTTGTCACGGATGCTGACCTTCGCTTGACATAGGCCCGTACAGCTGAATATGCGACCTTGACCAGACAGTACGCGGCGCATTCTCCCCCCCTCCTGTACAAACACTAGCTAATTCTGGTCTTGTAGCTACTACAACCTGGCGACCGACCTGTACGAGTATGGCTGGGGCCAGTCCTTCCACTTCTGCCGCTTCTCCCACGGCGAGCCCTTTTATCAGGCGATTGCCCGTCATGAGCACTACCTTGCCCACCAGATCGGAATCAAGGAGGGTATGAAGGTGCTTGACGTCGGATGTGGTGTTGGCGGACCTGCGCGCGAAATCGCAAAGTTCACCGGCTGCCACGTTACCGGTCTGAATAACAACGACTATCAAATCGATAGAGCTACTCACTACGCTGCGAAGGAGGGCCTGTCGAAGCAACTCGATTTCGTCAAGGGAGACTTCATGGTACGTGTTTGTTGTAGTGATCAAATTCATCTTCAAATGATTAACGTTAATCTCGCAGCAAATGTCTTTCCCCGATAACTCCTTCGATGCCGTCTATGCCATTGAGGCTACCGTCCACGCACCCAGCCTGGAGGGCATTTACAGCGAGATCTTCCGTGTTTTGAAGCCCGGTGGCGTCTTTGGTGTTTATGAGTGGTTGATGACGGACGAGTACGACAACGACAACCTGGCCCACCGTGAAATCCGCTTGGGCATCGAGCAGGGTGATGGTATCTCCAACATGTGCAAGGTCTCTGAGGGTTTGGCCGCCATGAAGACTGCCGGGTTCGAGATGCTCCACCACGAGGATCTTGCCGACAGGCCTGACCCCATGCCATGGTACTGGCCCCTGTCGGGAGAGCTCAAGTACATCCAGTCCGTCTTTGACATCTTCACCATTGTTCGCATGACCAAGGTGGGACGATTCCTCATGCACAACGTAGTTGGTGGACTCGAGGCTCTCAAGATTGCCCCTGCCGGTACGAAGAAGACGGCCGACAGTCTGGCATGGGCTGGCGACTGCCTTGTTGCTGGTGGCAAAGAGCACTTGTTCACGCCTATGTACTTGATGGTCGGAAAGAAGCCCGCCAACTAGACGCCAATTTTGTACGCTTTGGATGCAGAGATGACGGCATAGATGGACACCAACGGAAAAAGATTCGAGGCTATGACTTTTTCTACTCGCTGTATGAGTGTTATACCAGTACTATAATTGTAATTAGGCAACTACAGCCAGACGGCTTTAACGACAAGTCACGGTTGGCCATGATAGACAGGAAGTTAGGAAATGTGGGTGAGAGTTATTCTAGAGAAAGATATGTTAGCCGATTAGCTGGCAAAAGTGACTGACTACTATACACTATCACATAGACGTGAGTCCAAGACGAGAGTTCCACATGCACATGCTTATGGCGGACTATTGTTTGTCCATGTAGCCCCCATCGCTAATCAGCTCACCATCTATGGAGGCGGGTCAAATATTGCAGCAGGTTGCATCTTCTGTCACCTACCGCCGTACACAGTAGGTAGCTATTTTGTCCCGGCTGAGATCATGGATAAGGAGATTTGGGCTGTCCTGTAAGGCAGTATATACGATAAATAGCAAGTTTAACGAATGATCCAGAGCCCGTTATGGCAGGCCACGTAAAAAAGCACACTGCTCGGACCTTTTCATTCCTAGCAGCCATGAACGAGGGTTGCGGATGATGGTGACAGCTGTGCACATGATCACTATCGCAGTTCTGGGCATTGCTCAAAGACTTTCTGTGGAATATGCATGCCTATTGCCCAGACCACCTCACCGAGTCCCTTTTCGTTGGTTCTCGCTCGGACCTAAGTGGCTCGCCGTTCGGATGGAAGCGGGTGGCACCGGGCGCATGGTGCGAGGAAAGCGTTTGCTGAGTAGGAATCTTATGGAGATCCGCGTCCGGTCGCACCTCGAGGGGGAGCTTAAGCCCGACGCCGACAAAGGAGCACTTAGAAAGGCCGATGCAAACACTCCCGTTAGCTGGGCTAGCCAGGAGTATGGAGTAATACAAAGAGTATCCGTATTAACGCAGAAATTTATGGAAGGGAGTACCTTAGAAAACCAGCGGAGCTTATCGGGATTAAATCGGACCTGGATTTGAGCGCAATTTGGATGGGGACTAATCGTTGAAATACAGCGTGATTGGCTCAGAAAGGTTACCCCCGATTATCTAATGCTCAAAAACACCGCCAATACTGAATAGGACTAGCTCCACGCCCGGGACCTCCCCAACGCTGTTGTCTGGCAGCTCGCCGCAATTCAACGGACTCAACGCCCATAGAGCTGAGCAAAAAAAAAAAGCTGCGAAATCCCTCGAAAGCTCCCCGTCGACTTTCTCATCCCTCTCACTTCGACGTTCAATTCTCGTCGTTGGCCATCGTCAACCCCCACCCCGAGGTCACGTCTTGTTCATCCACGACATTTTTCTCCTTGTCTCCTCATTCTCCAAATCCTCTTGGGATAATCAGCTTCTTTCGCGTTGCGACCTGGGCGTCTTTTCTACCATCCAATCCTCCCAAGACCACAATTCGCGATGTCCCGATTCCTCCGTCCCGCAGCACGCCTGGCGTCCTCTGCCAGAGCTGCCTCCCTCCGCACCTCCCCCATCTCTCAATTCGTTAGCCGGCCTGCTGCTTTCACCATCCAGTCACGGACATATGCCGACGCAAAGGGAACCAAGGACTACACTGTCCGAGAGGCCCTCAACGAGGCCCTCGCCGAGGAGCTTGAGGCCAATGACAAGGTCTTCGTTCTGGGTGAGGAGGTCGCTCAGTACAACGGCGCATATAAGGTCACAAAGGGTCTTCTGGACCGGTTCGGCGATAAGCGTGTCATTGATACACCCATCACCGAGAGCGGTTTCTGTGGTCTCGCCGTTGGCGCTGCCCTCAGCGGACTGCACCCTGTGGTAAGTTTGCTTCCCCAGCAAGTCGATAAGGTCCATGGACTTGGGATTTGGCTTTTCAAATATCCGAGAAACGACTCTCTAGCGCAAACTTATGGAATCAAGGTTTTGGTGGCCTATGACTGACTCTTGTGTTTCCTTTAGTGCGAGTTCATGACCTTCAACTTCGCCATGCAAGCCATCGATCAGATCGTCAACTCCGCCGCCAAGACCCTCTACATGTCCGGTGGCATCCAGCCCTGCAACATCACTTTCCGCGGCCCCAATGGCTTCGCCTCTGGCGTTGCTGCGCAGCACTCTCAGGACTACTCAGCCTGGTACGGCAGCATCCCTGGTCTGAAGGTCGTCTCTCCTTGGAGTGCCGAGGACGCCAAGGGTCTGCTCAAGGCTGCCATCCGCGACCCCAACCCCGTCGTCGTTCTCGAGAACGAGCTCATGTACGGCCAGACTTTCCCCATGTCGGAGGCTGCCCAGAAGGATGACTTCGTCATTCCCTTCGGCAAGGCCAAGATCGAGCGCTCCGGCAAGGACTTGACCATTGTCACGCTCTCCCGATGCGTCGGCCAGGCTCTGGTTGCTGCTGAGAACTTGAAGAAGAACTACGGCGTCGATGTCGAGGTCATTAACCTGCGCTCCGTCAAGCCCTTGGACGTCGAGACCATTGTTCAGTCTGTCAAGAAGACCCACCGCCTGCTTTCTGTTGAGTCTGGATTCCCCGCCTACGGTGTCGGCTCAGAAATCCTGGCTGTGACGATGGAGTATGCCTTTGACTACCTTGATGCGCCCGCCCAGCGGGTCACTGGTGCCGATGTCCCTACCCCTTACGCGGCCGGTCTTGAAGAGATGGCTTTCCCTACTGAGCAAATCATTGAGAACTACGTCGCCAAGATGCTGCGTCTGTAAGAGAGTTGCGTGTTGTGGACGAGAGAGTACAGGCCTGGGCAAGCTGCCTCTTTGTGGCTTCCGAGGTGGAAGCTGATCTATAATGGCCCTTGGAGCTCGATAGACTTGGGGAAGAAGCTTGTACTTGTATGTTGCTTAGTTGTCATATATACATCTCATACCCTGGGATTACAACTGTATGCGATAATCCATGCGCTATGGCACAACGTAGTGAGCCCTTGGCCATTACGGGGTACATCGTTGTCATGACTGAGGCGGACGATGTATGTCAGAGTGACGAAACAAAACATCCCTCGGCAAAACAGGTTCAGAGCTCCGGGACTGAGGAAATGAGGATACCATCTATATGTGCCATCTGTAGCCTGAGGCCATTCAGTGATGAGACGAATTTGTCACAAAAACCCCAGGAGCCTGATTATAACTAATGTGGAAATCGTAACCGCTTTGTGGCAGAAGCTCCTTCATGTGCGATCTTGACTGAAAGTCATCCATCAAAGCTGCTCATCTCTAGCGAAGGTTACCCAAAGGCCTACCCTAAAAATCATGGCTATTTTGTGATGTGCCCAATTAAGGTGTGTATATGACGGCCTTTCACCTCAGAGGCTCAAATATCTTGCCTTACCTAAGGTAAGGAGAGGCAGGAGGGGCACACAAATGGAGGTACCTAAGGTGTTAGGTTACAGCGCGACCACCCCGCACAGCGTCATCAGTGACCACTGCAGTCTCGCCTATGGGTAAGGTACCGTACCGCCTAACTTCATCCCACATCAAGTCCCTTCTTCCTTCCATACCTACCCCAAGGTATACCAGCACTTGGACTTTGTCAAAGACAAAGTAGGCTCAGAGCCAATCTCATCGTCTCATCTCATCTCGCGTTCGTATCGGCTCATTCTTTCGACAACGTTACGCATCCCCTGCCGCTGATCGTCGTCAAGATGGCTTCCGACCTGGCTACGGCCATTCAAGGTCTCCATCTTGAGGACCTTCCCGACTCCAACATTGATGACATCTTGTTTCAGCAACGGCCCAGCAAGCGCGTCAAGCAAGATACTTCGGAGCTGAAGACGAGTCTGGAGACTGACTTTCTCATGCCATGCATGAAATTCTCACCTGAATGGCTGAATGGCCTGCAGCAGTATGCCCTCCAGATGCCAACAGATTCTGCCTTCCATATTCATTAGCTGATTTCTCCTAGGCGTTGGGATTGCCACGTGGATTATACGGAGCTTTTCAAGATTGGCAATCCTCAAACCAGGACTGTGACTCGTTTTGAACGGCACGGTCTTGAGGGCAGAGTGAGTGGCTACCGAAACGTTACCGTGCCTGCCAACAGCGCTACCGCCAAGAATTCGACCTCATTTCTTCGCAAGCCTGCTAATAGGGCTGATTTCGTCCGTGGAGCTGCCGGCTTCTTCCCCTTCGCACCTGGTGGTCTTGATGGAATCGAGGCGACCGCCGCACTCGAGGATCAGGTTCACCGGTCTGGAGAAGGAGAGGCTACAGCTGCATCAAATAACAAGCTGGAGCGGGTTATTAAGCTTGGTACCGAGGGCGGGCTACTTGAGGTTGCGCCAGGACTGAGTAGAGGATTCAATATTGATCAGAAGAAGCCAGATGAGGACGAAGCCAGGGCGATTGAGCAAGAGCTGGGCCAAGAACCAGAACAACCCCCAGGAACTGACGAAGCAGACGGCGAAGCGCAGACAAATGGCGATAAGCTGCATGAGATTGAGTCCGAGGACGAAGAAGATAGCGAGGATATTGACGCTATTCTGCCTGTCGAGTTTCCCGCTCTCGAACCTCATGGTGCCTTGGCCGCATCAAGTGCAAGGAAGGCCGGCCGAGAGTGGGCTCACATGGTTGATATCAACAGGGACATCACCAACTTCAGAGAATTGGTGCCCGATATGGCAAGAGATTGGCCCTTTGAGCTCGATACTTTCCAGAAGGAGGCCATTTATCATCTCGAGAGCGGTGATTCTGTCTTCGTCGCCGCACACACATCAGCCGGTAAAACCGTCGTTGCCGAATACGCCATTGCCCTCGCAACGAAGCACATGACCAAGGCTATATATACGTCTCCGATCAAGGCCCTGAGCAACCAGAAGTTCCGAGATTTCCGTCAAACTTTCGACGAGGTCGGCATCCTGACGGGTGACGTTCAAATCAACCCGGAGGCCAGTTGCTTGATTATGACAACAGAGATTCTAAGAAGCATGCTCTACCGTGGAGCCGATCTCATTCGAGACGTCGAGTTCGTCATTTTTGACGAGGTACACTACGTCAACGATTTTGAGCGCGGCGTTGTTTGGGAAGAAGTCATCATCATGCTTCCCGAACACGTAACACTCATCCTTCTCTCGGCAACGGTTCCCAATACCTATGAGTTTGCCTCCTGGGTTGGACGCACCAAGCAAAAGGATATCTACGTCATCTCAACACCAAAGCGACCTATCCCATTGGAACACTACTTGTGGGCTGGCAAGAATATCCACAAAATCGTTGATTCCGACAAGAAATTCATCGAGAAGGGTTGGAAGGAAGCCAATTCGGCGATTCAGGGCAAAGAGAGGACCAAGGCCCCCGAGCCAGTTAATGCGCCTCGTGGCGGTGGTGGTCAGAGAGGAGGCCAGAGAGGAGGATCCCAGCGCGGCGGGCAGCGAGGGGGTCAGCGTGGCGGCGGTCCTCAACAAAGAGGTCGTGGTGGAGCGCCGCGCGCCAGTCACAACCCGGGTCACATGGGACGAACAGGTCGCCAGGGTGGGTTTACCTCTGCAGCGCAAGACAAGAACCTCTGGGTTCATCTGGTTCAGTTCCTCAAGAAGTCGAACCTTCTGCCTTCTTGCATATTTGTCTTCTCGAAGAAGCGATGCGAGGAAAATGCCGATGCACTCAGTAACCAGGACTTCTGCACAGCGACTGAGAAGAGTGCCATCCACATGACTATCGAGAAGTCCGTTGCCAGACTTAAGCCCGAGGACCGGGCTCTGCCTCAGATTATTAGACTCCGCGAGCTTCTGTCCCGAGGTATTGCGGTTCATCACGGAGGGCTGTTGCCAATCGTCAAAGAGATTGTCGAGATACTCTTTGCTCAGACACTTGTCAAGGTACTTTTTGCCACGGAGACTTTCGCCATGGGACTCAATCTGCCGACTAGAACAGTCGTTTTCTCCGGATACCGTAAACACGACGGCCATTCCTTCAGAAATCTGCTTCCTGGCGAGTACACGCAGATGGCCGGCCGAGCAGGTCGCCGTGGCTTGGACACAGTCGGCTCGGTTATTATCGTTCCACCGGGCGGGGACGAAGCTCCTCCCGTTGCCGACCTTCAGAAGATGATTCTAGGAGAGCCGTCGAAGCTCAGATCTCAGTTCCGTCTCACTTACAACATGATTCTTAACCTCCTCCGAGTCGAGGCTCTCAAGATTGAAGAGATGATCAAGCGCAGCTTCTCGGAACATGCCACCCAGCAGCTGCTCCCTGAGCATGAGAAAGCAGTTAAGATCTCGGAGGCCGACTTAGCCAAGATCAAGCGAGACTCGTGTAGCGTATGCGACGTGTCTATGGACGAATGCCATCAAGCGTCAGAGGACTACAAGCAACTTACCGGGGAAGTTTACAAGTCTCTCATGGGTATTCCCATTGGTCGCAAGATGTTCAGCCAGGCCCGCTTGATCGTTTACAACAGGGACGGTATTCGCACACCCGGTATCTTGCTGTCGGACGGCGCGAGTGACAAGGGACAAGGTGGACCTACTTTACATGTCTGCGAGATCAGGCTCATGAGGGAAACTCGTGATTCGACAGACCTTCTGCCGTTCATCCCAGCCTTCCGCAAGTACTTGACACCGCTACCGCAGGCCAAGAAGCACATGCGGATTAAGACCCTGCAGGTCCCTCTGAGTGATGTTGAATGTTTGACTAGGTACGTCACCAAGGGCATTGTGCCAGAGATTTTCCAAGGCGGGGAGAAGTACGCAAAGGCGAAGGACAGACTCCATGCGCTGTGTCGGTCGTGGGATGATCTTTGGGACGAGATGGACCTCTCCAAGATAAAGAACCTCTCATTTCAGGAGGTGATGAAGAAGAGAAAGGATGCTGAAGGCGTTGCCTCATCCTCGCCTGCTCTTTCTTGTCCTCAATTCTTGAAGCATGTAAGTTGAGATACGGCCGGCTTGAGAGGAAATTCAATCGCTGACATTGATTACAGTTTGCCATGTGCCATGATCAGTGGCTTATCAAGGAACACATCTCTCAGCTCCGGCAATCCCTCTCAGACCAGAACCTTCAACTTCTGCCAGACTACGAACAGCGCATCCAAGTGCTTAAACAGCTCCAGTTCATTGACGAAAGTGCCAGGATACTGCTAAAGGGGAAGGTTGCCTGCGAAATTCACTCGGGCGATGAACTCGTTTTGACAGAGTTGATCTTGGACAATGTGCTCGCCGATTATGAACCAGCCGAAATCGCTGCCTTGCTTTCGGCGTTTGTCTTCCAGGAAAAGACGGACACACAACCAAACCTTACGGGCAACCTCGAGCGTGGCAAAGATACCATCATTGCTATCAGCGAGAAGGTCAACGAAGTCCAGACGCTGCACCAGGTCATACAGTCTGCAGATGATTCGAATGACTTTATCTCTCGGCCTCGCTTCGGTTTGATGGAAGTTGTTTACGAATGGGCGCGAGGCATGAGCTTCAAGAATATTACTGATCTGACCGATGTCCTGGAAGGAACTATTGTGCGGACTATCACGCGTCTGGACGAGACATGTCGTGAGGTCAAGAACGCCGCTCGCATCATTGGAGACCCGGAATTGTATCAAAAGATGCAGACAGCTCAAGAGATGATCAAGCGCGATATCACGGCAGTTGCCAGTCTGTATATGTAGACCTTGTTCTGCATGTGAGCAGCAAGCACATGCTCGGTTTTTGGCTCGAGGTTGATGAGAGCTGGTCCAGTTTAGTTTACTTTAGTTTAAGGATTAAACAAAGTGGTCATCCCCTCAGCCGCCTCAATCTCGCTTCGAAAGCTGACTTTGCGCCAGAGGTTCGTTCAAGACCTGCTACTCTTCTCAATACGAAATGTGTTGTGCGCGTGCCCACGCCCGGTATAACGCCTAGTTCCCAATGTACCAAACGAGTGAAGCCATCCCATCATGCTCAAATCAACGCTATTCCACCCTAAACTCAAGCCCTCAGCGCACGTAGTCGCTGCTGCAACGCATCTTCCTCCTCTGCAGTAGGCTCGGCAGACACAAGCTCTTCCTTGGCCGGCGCCGCACTGTTGAGTTCAGCATTGAGCTGCACTCCAGCGTCATCGGCCAGCTTGCCCAGCAGCTCGTGTACAGCGTCATCGGACACTTGTGCACTGGTAGTCTGCGAAATGGCGTCCTGATAGATGCCGTTTGAAACTGCATACTCTTCGTTCTGTTGCTTGAACTGCTCGAGGGTGACGAGGGTCTGATAGCACGCAGTTAGGAAGACAGGTCACGACAACGAATAGATTACGGCTCGGTGACATACCTTTTCGGGGTTCATGTTCTTCTGTGCCACAGACATAGTACGAGATGATTGACCCATCATGTGTGTCATGCGATTCATGGAATTGTTGGCTTGAATTTGGGCGGCAGAAAGCTCGGCCATGTCAGCCATCTGGTCCATCTGTTGAGCCAAGGCCTGCTTAGATAGAAGCATTTTGGCCTTTTGGTAGGCTTTTGCCGTCTCCCCCTTCTTGAGCAGCTGTGCGATTCGGTGTCAGCAGGTTCAAATGCTGTCATCATTCAGTAACGTACATCTTGAATCTGCTTCTTCAGTATAGGGTCTTGTTTAGCGGCCTTTTGCGCTTCTCTCCGGGCTTGCTTCGCTTGGAACTGAGTGCCGGTTAGTTTGCAGGTGTCGAGGATCCGCAAGTGTCCCAAACTTGCGCAGTTGGAGTTAGTATGGAATTTGGGCGAACATCTCGACGTACTCGTGCCTGGAATTCGACCTGCATATCGCGGGCAAGTGCGCGGTTCGACATGGTGACTGTTTGCTTATCGGGTCGGAAGTCGGAGACAAACGGAGTGGCGGGGTCTCTAACGAGGGGTTATCTTGAGTCGGCGGACGGTCGGAAGCGTACGACAAGCAGTATTTCGATGGTTTCGGGGGGTTCGTTGTTTGGATGCGTATGTCTGAAGGTGCGTAGCGAGGTTTAGGTGATGTTGCGCAAAAGTGACAGCAAATGTTTGTAGTGTAAAGGATAGCCAGACATTAGGCAGTACCTAGAACCGGACCCCCAGGCGTCACCTGTAGGGAATACGCTGCCTTTGACCAACCCATAGTCGGTCCCCGACAATCAGCCCAGGTGTGACCGGCTGGCTCCCGCTCGCTGATGACGCAATGAGAACCGGTGGTGCACCGCCCTACCAGCCACATTCTCCTTGCCACATGCGCCTATGTGGCCTACCTTATCCCAACTGCATACGGAGTAGAGCCAGGTCGTAAGTCGTTGTCAATACCGGTACCAGACATCAGTGTGGACATAGTTCACCTGATGTTAACCTCGTGGCCGGCCCTTTGATGTCCCGAAGTCCAAGATGTCACGACTCACTGGAAGGTCAAATGCCCCGCCTCTCGGGTTGTAGGAATCCTGTATCATCAGGGTGTTATTCCCCCTCAAAGGAACTCCCAAGGGGCAATATGGTTTGATTGCACAATTTCATCATTCGACTTTTCCTTATTAAAAAATTGTATCGCAAAACAGAATGGCGACGCGAGCGAGGATGAATGTGCAAGCATTCCCGCGGCCACCTCTGTTAGAGAAGATATCTCGTCATTTACGAATTGTGTGGAACGGCTCAGTGATTGCGGAAACTCGAGATGCCTATTGGGTTCTGGAGACACATCACCCTCCAAGTTCGTCACAAACCCGATCTGGATAAGTGTCAGAATGTGCGGTGGTGGTCCAACTGACACAAGCAACAGCGTACTATTTACCACCAGCGGCTTTGAAGGTACCGCTTACCCCGACCCGACGAAGCACATACTGCGAGTGGAAAGGTGGAGCTACGTATTATACAATCACAGCTCCTAAAGCTTCGTCTGGAACATTGCCTGAGGTGGTCTCTAATCGAGTCTGGTCTTATGAATCACCGACACCCGGGTTCGAGGCGATTAAGGGCTACTTATCATTCTATGCCGACCCGTGGAGTTGCTTCGTCGACGGCGAGGCAGTTCAGCCACAGCCGGGCGACTTTTACGGAGGATGGGTGACTTCAGAGATCGATGGCATCGTAAAGGGAGCCCATGGCAACTGGGACCCTGTGGTGTGATATTCAAACAACAGTTATGACGGAGGCGAGTCGGTTGTTGTGGACGGCGACATCGGCATCGAGTGCGCTCATTGCCTGGAGTCTTCATGTAGGCTGAGGGCGCGATGGCAAGGTTCCCTGCCGGTCGTAGCCCTAGTAGCCGACTATTTATGTCCATAAGTCCCAACTTGCTCGTCGTGTTGTTCCAGCACACGGCCAGTAACTCCGGAAGATGCCTCTTTCGTATCGCTTGATTTGTTCCAGGTATTCAACTTGTTGCAGATGTCAAGGTTCAAGCTGATTGCTCGGTCCTTGTAACGAACTCACAGGCCCAGATCAGGCGTTCACTCCGACATGGGCAGTCAAAAGCCCAAGTTGGATTCCCAGCACTGATCAAGTTCAGTGCCAAGTATGCGGAACCTGAGTGCTACTATGTATATCCGGTCTGGTTTGATATGGTCGTGTGCCACTGAGCTATAACGAACCAAATATCCGTAGAGTTACAGCTCCGTTCCTGTATATTGTTTTCCTTTGTCTTTGGTCGACTTTGGCTGTGGGTCAGATAGGTCGAGGTTGTGAACGCTGCTCTCAAAGGAGTTGAAGCGGCATCGGCCCCCCACTCCCCTGCGAGAGTTCCTGCATCAATCAGAACATCTCAGCCACAAGGTTTTGATAGATGAATATGCAGTCTGAGGCCATCGATAGCGACGACAAGCTTGCCATGAAGCAAGACCACAAAAACTCATTAAATTGCAGGCGGGCCGACACACTTTGTGCAGCGAGTCAGCGACAATGGGCAGGCGGCGACTTTTGAGGCTTGTCCATTGTCACCACAATAACCTTTAGCCAAGCTCGTGCACTTAGGCATATACAGAGTAATTGCTGGATCACCCGTGAAAGCTTGAGACTGTCGAGGGTCGAATACTGAGTAAGGGTCTCACACTATGCTGCAAGATTCAAACTACACACACCATTCGTCTACTGTCAGGCCAAAAGCAACGGTGCCCCCAGTCTAGTACTCACCCAGCAAGCATCTGAAGACTGCTGGCAGGTGAGGTCTCACCAGCAGAGGCCGGCCCGAGGACAATTTGTCGTGACACAAGTAGGTAGACAATGCGTAGAGAGTGGGTATGCACGATGTGCCAGGTATTACGACGATTAAGTGCCGCTCTGTTGAGTTGCGAACTGCCTAGAGTCTAATCCGCTAACTCATTAATCTATATCGGACCATCCGGGCAGGCCTGGAGCTTCAGCCTTCGAGGCCGTTTATACTTTCGGGGCAATAGAGGGATTCGTAAACGAGTCGCGTTCTGGAACCCTGAGTCTCATTAGATGGCCAGTGCCGCGGATCTGCGGCATTCTCAACCCCTGGATCGCCTCGGGAGGCCAAGGGATTGTGGTACATAGTGTGTGGCTCCGTGTTACCATAGTGCTCCGTACCTAAGGGCGGTTGACGCATATCGGTACCTGAGCTGGCGAGCCAATGGCACCACAGGAAGTGAGTTGAGAGGAATTCTCTTCAGAAATCGACGGCAGGCACACAGGCTCCACTGACAAGAGACAAGACGCGCGACACGAGATGCCTTTAGACTCCCTTGCTGAGAAAGCTCTCCCTGTGAAGTGGTGTATGAAGAAAAGCATAACAGGACACGAATCTTGGCTGCAATACAGGTAATAGATGGTGATGAAATTCGCAAGCCGCAACCCATATTGCTTGACCCAACCAACCGGAACGTTCCAAGGGTGGCCAGATAGTCCTCCGTACCAGTCGTACGGAGTACATGACGGAACTCTTTTGCGACTGCAGATCAGCCATCCGTATGTACTCCGTACCCAACGTTATTAATTCAATCCCATCTGAGTCGAGGCGTCGTTATGGCATCGAGTTCCAACTCAGGAGGAGAGCCATCATGCCACCATTTTGAGGCTCGCTTACCTACATAGTTAGTTCCCAGTCATCATCGGCAGGTACCTACTCCCACAAGAATCATCTCTCGAATCGGGTCTAATAATAAACGCGTCGAGTTGGTGGGCATTGGTTGGAGACTTGGAAGTCGGAGTTGAGGTTCAGCCCCCAAGGCCCGTGGCCCCTCATTGCCCCCCCCCCCCTCCTACCGTAATACTAATGGAGTCCAACGAGTAACTCCCCTAGGACCCGAGTGGCTGAGATTAGGACCTCCAGGTACCGCCCACCGCGTCCACGAACTGAGCCCACAAGTGAGGAGGGAGGCTGGCGTGTTGGATGGCCGCTTCTGCCGGGGAGCAACGGGTGGCTAACTTTAGCAGCAGCGGCGGCGCAATGACTGAACGCGTATGTGCTCCATGTGTGGGCGTCGTGTGCTTGAGGTAAGCCTGTAAGGTTGTTGTAACTTGTAGGCAAGTGTGTACTCAAGTGCGTAGTAAACTCACGCACGAGCTGCCTTTCCCGTGCCAAGCTAAGCTTACAGGTTGTCGCATGTCAGCCGTCAGCCAATGTTGACACTTAGTTTGACTTGGGAGTGCAGTGGGTGAAGTCGACTAGGTATATGGAATAGGCTATGGCTGAAGAGGGCACGAGAGGGCAACTAGGTAGAGATTTGAAAGATACCTCGAGTAAAATCAGCACCGAAAGCCATGTCACTGTCTGCTTACCTGACTTCCTTGTTGCAAGAGTACGTTGTGAGTTCTGGACTGTGAAGGTGGACCGTAGATGCGGACTGCGGACTGCGGACTGCCGAGGGTGAAGCAGAAATGAGGTGGTACTACCAAATGTCTAGACTAGTAAATCTCAATCCAGATGAGGTGCTGAAGGGCAGCGGCCGTTGAGCTCATTCCGGACGGGGTCAGGTGTGGGAGCCCCATTCATTTGCCTCGGGCGAGATTGCGGGCACTATGGAAGAAAGGCAAAGGGGAAGGGAGCGTACGGAGGAGTCAGGACTCATGAGTGAGGAGTCAGTCACCAGGATTCGACACGCCACATTGATGTTGGGGCTTCAACAGGATGGACGGAAGGAAGGTGACGGGAAGATACCTAATCAATTACAGTTGAGTCGGACCCGAATGCCGCCCTGCCCTCTGAATCTAAGGTATGGTAATTTGCGGCAGAAACAGTCGTGCAGTCTGTTGAGTTTCTGACAGTTGTATTCACAGTTCACCTCATACATGTGGCAAATGTGGATGGGGATGATGGGAGAAGGCAGTCCCCTGAACACGACACGGGCATATGGGCACACGGGCGCCCGCCTAGGTATACTGGGACGTCGCGCCAGGCGTGTTTCCGTTCCGTGGCTCCCGTGTTTCCTCTCCAGTCCATGAGCGGGACGGACCACCAACCAATCCAGCCGGTGCAAGGTAATCCTCCTTTCCCAAGTGACACTGACCTGCGGCCTCGAGACACGCGTATCTATCTGACGAGAGCAATGAGGCTGGGGCGAGCCAACAGTGGAGTGGGAAACATTCAAAAGCAGAGGGGAGCGCATCTCACATTCAACAGGGCCAATTGGTGGTTAAAAACGCTTCGATCGACGGGCAATGAAGTAGGTAGGGAAAGTAGGGATGGAAGTTGGTGCGAGACATGATTGCTTTTCTTCCTCGATAACAAGGTAGCAAAAGTAGGTAAGTACTTGCTCTTTGAAAGATAGGGGTAATACCCGCCAGGAGGCTTTTGTCAGGAGTAGGTATGCAATGGAACGTCCCTCTCTTTGACTTCCGTTTGGGGATCGCACGAGTCTCCCTCAAGTTCTTCAAGGTGGTGCGCGCTACCTTAGATACCTTAGCACCTTTTGGTGCCTGCTACCGGCGGTCGCTCTCGCTGTCGCTGGCTGCCATGGCTAGAACCCACGAACTTTATTGAATTATGGACCGCCAGGTTTCCACTGTGCCAACCCAATAGGTATCTGTGGAAGCTGTGTCCCGCAATCCGCCCACCACCCCGCCGTCTATCATGGCGGCATGACCCACTAATTGCTTTTGGAACTTCCAGTGGGAGGCTCTCCCGAGCCAGTGAAACAGCTGGGCCAGTGCACGCTCCCTCTGCTTCCGTACCTACTCCGTCCTGTTTTGGGTCGAGTCCACCAATCATAGTTCCGTATCACTCTCAAAGTATCGTTCTGGAGACTTCTCTCCTTGCCGGCCTGCGGCTTGCAGTCTGCGGCTTGCGGCTTGCGAATTGCGGATTACGGATCGCAGCCTGCTCTGAGCTGCCTCTTCGGTACCTACGAGCAAAACAATCCACCACTGATCGGAGCGTGGCAATGAGGGAGGAGGGCCTGCCTCCACCCACACAGTTACACTTATGTTGCCTCTGACACAGGCGAATCCGAAGGTACCTACCTTCCATACCTTAGCTAAGCGTGCCAATGTGGTCCCTACCCAGCTGCGTGCGTGCTTGAAAGGTCGGCTACCAGCTCAGAATGGGGAGGTATTAATACGGAGTACGAGTACGGATCTACCTACCTACCAAAGAAAGTAGGTGACTTACTCAACCCTTGCTGCCTTCAGGGCCTCCACATCTCCCCAATCCGCCAACCCCTGCCTCAACCTTGCCCTTGGAAGTTGAGGGTCTCTACCATTTCAGCCGGGGGCACGGGGGGTTACTCGAAATGAACACCTGAGGCAGCAATACTTCGGCCGTCCCTTGGTTCCTGCCCACCCCCTTGGGAAGCTGGAAGGGAAAGGTCCAACGTGGTTCCCAAATTACAAAAGAGGCCACATCGCCTACTCCAGCTTCCCATCTTGTGAACACCTTGCACCTCTGCACAAAACAGCAAAGGACACTCTGTCCTCTCTGCCTCATCCAAGCATTTTCCGGCTACCACGCTTCTCTCTAAGCTGGTCCTTTTGCTTCGGTGACTCACCTGATCCATATCTGACTCATTCACCGAGTCGTCATTGCCCCAAACATGTATTCTACTTAGCATCGCGGCTCTGGCTAGGTATATCATCAGAGGACATAAGTCGGCACCTCGTTACTGCCTCCACTGGCTTCACGCATCAGCCTTACCACTCTATCTCATCCCCCACCCCAAGATCTTCGCCATCTCACCCCACACCAAGCAGTCTCACTGCACGCACCAGCTTCTCAACCCCCCTTTCCTTATACTACCCTTGAACGAGTCTGTCGAGAGTTCAGCTCCCGACGCGACCAATATTCGACATACAATGGCATCCTGGGAGCAGCCATCACCAATGATCAAGTTCGAGGACTCGCCTGCCGAGTCTTTTGTTTCCACACCCGGCGAAATATATCCATCGCTGTTTGGCGACGCAAACGTCGTCAATGATGATACTCTCGATCCCTCCGATATGATGACGCCGCCGCCCTTCAACGACGACGGTGGTCTTCCCGCATCTACGGCTTCGACCCCAGCTCCGGACGGTGCAGGATCATCATCTCCAGATAAGAAGCAAACGAAGAAGCGGAAGTCATGGGGCCAGGTTCTTCCTGAGCCCAAGACGAACCTCCCTCCTCGGTAAGTTGCAACTCATATTCTCAGCATTGTTCTCTTGTGCACCTGATCTAATATATCTGGTAGGAAACGCGCCAAGACGGAAGACGAGAAGGAACAACGCCGTGTTGAGCGGGTTCTTCGCAACCGTCGAGCCGCCCAATCATCCCGTGAGCGAAAGCGACTGGAGGTTGAGGCTCTCGAACGACGCAACAAAGAACTCGAGTCGGCTCTCCAGAACGTCACCAAAGCAAACCAGCTGCTGGTGGATGAACTCAACAAATTTCGTCGTGACTCTGGCATGTTGACCCGTTCAACGTCTCCCAACGACCCCTTACACAAGAACTCTGTCACGTTATCCCAAGAGCTCTTCAGCTCCCACGACGGCCACCGCGCCTCACTAGACGAGACTAAGTCCATCGTCGACGACCTCATGACCACATCTCAACCCAACGCCACTGTCAATCCTGCATCGCTCTCCCCAGAACTCTCACCGATCGCTGAGGGTACTGAGGAGGGTGGTGAGGAGCAGCCAACGGCCGAGACCTCTGTTGCGAAGTCTACCTCCGACCTGACACAACGTCCTGCAGCGATGTTGTGCGACCTGCAGTGTCATCTGTCGGAGGAGCTTCCGCAATCATGGCTGGCCTCTCAAACCCCTCTGCATCCGACCTTGGTCTTCTTTCTGCAGCTTCAGACGCTACTAGTCACCTCATCAGTGATTCTTTCAGTTTGTCAGCGGCCCTTGACGCAGATCGCTATGTCCTTGAAAGCGGGCTTCTCTCTTCCCCCAACTCCCTCGATTATGAACACGATTATCTGGTTGGTGACTCTACCTTCCTCCAAGACCCGTTCGACATCAACGAGTTCCTCCACGACGACGTCAACGGCGCAGCCGTCGCAGCGGACCCGGATTTCGGCCGCGACCTCACCCACTCTGAGACTCAAGTCTCTTCAGAGAATCCTAACCTGCAGCCCCACTCTGGCGCGTCCGCTCATGGATGCGACGATGGAGGCATTGCGGTTGGTGTCTGAAGGATGCGATGACCGGATCGGGGGATCGTCGGCTGGATCTTCGGCGCAGCGCGACAGCAGTCAGACACCACAAACGTGGATTGTCGGTGCACCGTTGCCGTCTAGGGAGGTTCTTTTGACACTGTTATGGGTTCTCAGAGTCGAAGAGCGGAAAATCAACCGCAAGAATACACTTCAACTGAGAGCTCATTCGCCCGATCTGGTGAACGACATTTCAACACCAACTAATAATCATATGATACACTTCAACTGAGAGCTCATTCGCCCGATCTGGTGAACGACATTTCAACACCAACTAATAATCATATGTTTGTTTCGGCTTCCAAGAGGAAGCGGGGAGTGGCTGACACCAATGAGAATGGGAAGCGTTTTCGGTTGGCTTGAATGGTATGGGAAAATGGTGTACAGGCGCAAGCATGGTGTCCAGTCAGTATAGACAATGCCGGTGGACTGTAACATTAGATCGTTTCAATGACACGTCGCCTTGCGACCAATGATGTTTATGCCATTTCAGATGAATATTTCCATGTCCCGAGCTACCATCACCTCATCGTGACAACTCGCTCGGATCCTGTCTTATCCCTTGTAGGGTCGAAAATCGTGCTGACGGCATAAGGGTGGTCGTGTTCCAATCCACAGACTACCAAGATGGTGCTTGTCGTAGATCTAAGTAGGAATCGTGGCGCCAACGCCGTCCGTCATGCAGGCAATCTATTCTGGTGCTAACCCTATCGTCGCCCATACAGCCACTCTTGCTGCGAACTTGATCCTGTCACCAAAGCCCGTCCATCTCGGCCATAGCGGCTTCTTCATCGGCGAATTCTTCCTCTGCTGACTTGCCGGTGTGCTCATGTGGTATTGGTGCTTGTGCATGGGCTGCTCCATCCGCTTCAGCCATGAGCGCGTCGAGATCGTCGTCGTCGGGTTCCTCAGGCTGTAAGGCGGACACACCCCTATCCTGCTTCCTAGCCAACGGTGTTGAACTGTATATGTCTTCTACACCCAGTATGTCTCCACGTTCTGGTGTTCCTAGGTTTTGTTGTGGAGGGACAGTTGCCGAAACTGGTGCAGGGGGGGGTTCGGCTGTTTGCTCTGGTGCCTCTCCCAGCGTATCTTCTGTTCTGTCCTCGTTTGCACCCCACGGCTTGGGCTTGCCCTCGTTGATCCACTCCATGCGCTTAAGTCCAATCTGCCTCTTATGGCCGGCTTTTTCAACCATGCTGAGAGCGTCGAGAAACTTCGCCTTGGGGAAGAGGTCGTCAAGCCAAAGCTGGTAAAAGGATAGAAGACGCGCAGCATCGGAGAACTAGAAAATGCCGCCTCAGCAAGGAATCAAGATCGCAGGAGAAGGTGGAACGGATATACCTCGTGTCCTTTGCCCTTGAACTTGAGATTACCGGCGCGTTTTCGAAGTTTAGGTATCCCGTTGTCTGACAGTAGCCTGTCAAAGATCAGTAATTGGTAGTCTTGAGCACATGAGATACCAACCGAGCCTCGTCGAGCTTTACGCGTGGCACCCTCACTCTCTTAGCCACCTCCACCTCCTCATCAAGGCCTAAAGCTTCGGCCTGCTTTCTTTTGTTCGTGCTCCCATCTTTCGCCTCGGGCGGTGGGGATTTGAATGGGTCGTCGAAGTCGTCATCAACATTGTACACGTCGAGATCGTCATATTCGGGTACGGTTCTGGAAGCCATCGCTGAAGTTTCACTATTCAATCCGTCGTAGTTGTGCGCAATGTGCCCAAGAAGAGTCGCTGCCGCCTTGTGCATTCCGAGGAACGCGAAATGTCACTCGAGGTCGCGTCTTCAATTAAACGACGCGTCGGCGCAGCTTGGTCCTCCAGGGGTCTGCAACTGTCGGGGAGGTGGTCCGTGTATACGTCCACTTGAGTGCAAAGCCACACCTATACTGGTCTGTGCTCGGGACTGTGTTCTGCCTCAGGCTAATGTGGTGGCTTGGCCCCAATCAGCGTCCGCTCATATCTAATTCGACATCTGAATCGACCGCTGAGAACATAGAGCTATCGGCCATCATCGACGCAATCGGGCCTCGCATTGCCGTCCGCTACAATGGCTACCGCACAAGCGCAGACCTTCACTCCGACCAAGGTCGTGAGGAGTGATTACCCAGTAAGACCCTGATGCAGATCTAAAGGCAAATGTGAGCTGACACATCTCTCTCTTCGCAAAGCTCATCGATAACGACCCGTATGCTCCGACCCGCCCGCCGCAGCCTCCATAGGATTAGAAGCTAACAGAGAACGACTACAGCCACTTCAAAAGAGTTGTCGGCTATGCCCGGCCTTCCGATTATCTACATGGTGCTGTAGCTGCTGCCTTCGGTCCCGGCGCTCTCCTCGTCCTGGAGAAGTTTGCTCCTTCCCACGTTGGCAAGGGAGGTATGGCTCAGGCTTTACGCTTGGCTGGAGCCATTGGTGTGGCTGGTGGCTTTCTATACTTTTACCAGCGCTCTAGCTGTAAGGATATGTATCCGGGCGATCTTTGCGGATGAAGAAAGTTGCATGAGGTGCACAATGCTAACGAGGTCGGCTTGTAGTGCGGTTTTACGGGGCCACCGAGAACGCTCGCGAAGTTGAGCTGGACATGAAGGAAATGGTTTCTAAGGTCAAGGCCGGCGAGCCGCTTTACGGCGAGAGCAGATTGACTCCTCACTTGCAAGGCGTCGCTGCGCGACAATCTAGATATTCGGCCTTGTTCATGGGTGTTATTCCTTGGTTCAACTTTGTCAACCACAATCAACATGGCGTTGATACGGCCAAGTACTATCAGCAGGCTGAGAGGGAACTCGAAGCTGAGCGTACACAAAAAGCTAGCCCATGATACCTACCATTCATTGGTGATCATATGGGTTCAACTGAGTGTGTATTATAGCTTGGGCAAAAAAATGGTAGCCTTAGAGGGGCATTTTAGCAATTACGCTGAACACTCCCTGAATTTCCTCCAAACCTGTGATGTCTTCAGATCTGACCTGCCAGTGCGGGAGAGGCGTGTGTCTGGGTCATTGTTATTGTAACGGTTGCAAGTGACCAAGCATCACCGTGCCTACCCAACAAGTCTACCCATGGTAATGAAACTGATATCACATCAATGTCACAGCTATGACTACGCGCATGGCTGAGAATGGATTTTAGGGCACAAAAGCTATCAGGACAGCTAAATACCGCCCAGAACCAGCTCAAACACTAAGATTTCTTCACTGGTTTCTTTCCACATTGCCTAATGCAGGAAGGCTTATACACAGACAGTACGTTTCTCCACGACCTCGTTGTTGATCGGTCCGGCACTGAATGCTGGGCCCCTGAGCACTTTTCCGTCACTAAAGGCCTGGTTTCCCTGTAGACAAAGTTGACCTTCGATTAAAACATGCTTAATTAACATACACAAACTCCTTGTGGTAATGGGTCCCCGAATTTCTTTACACATATCTGGCAGCCGGTCATATTAACACAACAACACTGTGGCGAGTGAGATCCACCAAATTGTTGAAAGGTCTACAAGACAAGAAGTAGACGCGGCATTGGTGCTGGTGGGGGACGGCGCAGAAGTGGTGGCGGCTTCAGCTGCGGCTGTCGTCATCGTTGTCTTCGTCGTCGCGGTCTGGCTAGTACTGGATTGAGTTGTGGAAGTTGAGGTCGCCTTGTCTTCTGGGTCTCCTTGCCTAACCACCTTCAAGGTGTAGTTGCTGGCTTCAAAGTGCATGTCGCCCGCGGCGTGTTTGATTTCGGTGCCCAGCTCGAGTTGCCCTAGCCACATTGCGCCTGACAGCATACCCTTCTTCCAGATATAGGAGAGCAAAGGTCCGTAGTCGGCATCGGTCTTGGTGAGGTTGGTGCGAGCCAACCATGAAAAGACATGCTGTCCCCCATCATTCCAGCCATGGTACAATGAGAAAGGGGTGCCGTCGATGGTGACGGTGTCTTTGTCAGGAGTGGACTCGGCCCATCCAAGTGGTTTTACAGTTGGCGTCCACCAGGGCCAAATCATGATTTCAATAGGGGCGCCGACCATGGTTGAGTTCTCCTTGTTATCGGACAGAAACATGTCCACAGCAACGTTGGCGTAGAGCGAAACATCATCGAAGGCCTGGGCCTGCTGCTCAGCACTGGCCTTTTCCTTGCCAGCAACGTAAGTCTGCCAGTTCCCGGTGACCTGTAGTTGAGTGACGTTCCATAGCTGGACAGGGAGCCTAGTCGGATGAGCCTTCATGTACGGGTAGCCTTTGACAAGAGATGCATCCCCGGTCCATTTGTAGGAGACACTGAAGCTACGGCCATTATCATGGACGGCCATACATTGGTAGCCCGAACTGTCGTTTCCCCAGGCATTATTATTAACTGCCGCGTTTGTCAGTCAGCGTCCATGATTATGAAATCAACTGCGTCGGTGCAGAAAGCTACACACATGAATACGGAACTTCAGTAGAGTTCCACCAGTCTGACTGACCACAGAGGTCAATATTTTGTGAATCCGCAGCTACGAGTCCAGACAATTGAAATGTGGCCAGGAGTCCTAAGGTCGAAAAAAATGCAAATGCCATGATTGCCCAATTATTCCGTGTCTATCCTTTGTCGAAGCAGGGCGCCGGAGCGCAAGTAACGAGTGAGTACGGGCGAGTTCAGCAGAGAAAAGCAAGTAGTATTGAACAAGAGTGAATGGACACGTTTTCAGCCAGTCATGGTGATATTACGAAATCGCCGTGCACGAGCGTGGAAAACAAAATACGCTGAGAATGGGCTTCGAAATGAGTTGGAAAAGGAAGGAGTGAGGTCCGGAGGTTCTCGAGAACGAAATGCCGTTGCCTAGGCGAGCCTAAGCGTAAGACAAAAACACGACTCTGAGCCACACATCGCGCCCCTTGGCCTCTTGCGGTCCCGCTCTCATACGAGGGCGTCCAAGCCATGATACGCCCAGACATTAGGTAGTGATGAACCACCAACAAACGAAACATCGACCAATGAAACAACAACGATCGCTTACAAGGCCCAGAACCTGGCTGACGGGTACGAGTTATGCTACATGAAATTTGAGGATTGGAGAGAGAGAGGGAGCCCCTATTCTTAGCTTTCTCCACCACTGTCCTTGGCTGGTGGGGCTACATTTCACGCGTCGTGGGTAAGACTACCTACTACTGTTCGAGAGTGGCAAGGTAAGGTAGGCGAGTGTATGGGCCTCACGACAGACAAGGTATCGACATCGCAGCTCTGCCATTATTAACCGCTAATGGCAAGGCGGCTTTTAGGTTCTGGTAAGGCTATATAGTTAACGGATGTATAGTACGTATTAATAACTGACCTTCTGTAGCCGTAAGACTTTCAAAGCGTAGTTGGATCGCCGCGCGAGCTCGCTGCGCTTATTAAAATGAGACCGGTTATTTTAACTGTGTCGTCTGGCTATTTTAACTGTGTGCTAGTGCTAGCTCCTGCTTGGCTAATTCTAAAGTACTTTAATTATACTTAGTTAATTATACCCGTATTAACTGTAAATTATAGTCGTAAAAATCGTTAATTATACTTAGTTTAATATTTTTAGAGGAAATTGTTATTTTTAATTTTAAGAATTTTAAATTATACTTAGTTAATTATTTCTAGAAGAAATCGTTATTTTTAATTATATAAAATTATTAATTATGCTTAGTTAATTATTATTAAAAGAATTTATTATTTATATTTATAAAAGTCGTGATTTTTAGTTATAAAATCGTTAATTGTGCCCGGTTAATTATTTCTAAAGAAATTTATTAATTATACTTATAAAAGTCGTTAATTACGCTTATAAAAATCGTTAATTATAATAGAGCGAGTTAATAGTACTAGGTTAGAGTTATATTAATAGTTATTAGTAATAATATATAGTTAACCGTATAACCGATATCGAGAACTGCCCGAGCAATAAGTAGAGGTAGTATATAAAAACAAATAATATATAGTTAAAATAGCCCGATAGTATAGTTAAAGTAACCGATCTCTAAATTAAAATAATTAAAAATTAATATAGAGTTATTTAGGCTAGTAACTTATAATAAGCTAATTTAATAAAGAGTAGTAAAACTAGGGTAAGTTATATTTTAAATCCTATTTTATTAAAAGAAAAGCGTACTATATAATAATATATTAATTTAAAAAGCTTAAATATTTTAGTTTATTTTTAATGTTATAGTACTAGGTACTAAGCCCCTATACGCTCGAGCCTTAGGTACTAAGCGGACCCCCTACGGGTTACGTAATTACTAAATTACTAAACTTAAAAACCTAGCGCCCTAGATTCTATTTATTAATTTACTTTTTTTTTTATATTAAGTTACGTTTATTAAGTTAATATAATAGTATTTTAATTTATTTTAAGTTCTTTTTTATAATATTACTTCATATTTATTATACATTCTTTTAGAAATAAAATAATAATATCTTAACTTATTAAACTTATTATAATAAATAGCTACTTTTATTAAAAAAATATTAAGTAATAACTAATTAATTAATTATATAAAATAATTAATATTCTCTAAATACGTATATACCCCTTTATTAAATATTATAATTTAAAATAAGAGCTAAGAAAAATAGATATGTTTTTATATTAATAATTTTTAATAAGGCCGTTATTTATATAAATAATATTAAAATATAATAAGTATTAATAAAATTCGTCCTGCTGCGCCTAATATTACTATTAATCCGTAGTTATAAACTTTATAAAAAGAAAATTAAAAAAGTAAAAGAAAATTATAAAAATAGTCTAACGAGATAGTAAGAGTATTTACTAATATTATATATTAATATTATATAACCGATATTAAGAACTACCCGAGCGATTAGTAGAAGTAAAATAAATAAATAAAGTACTAATAAAATTATTAAACTCCTTATATTTAACCTTAAAGTCGACCTTATTAACTAGTTTATTAAGTAGTTTTATTTTTTTATTATATAAAATAACTACTTCGATTTTTATCGTATTATTAATAAGTATATAACCCTATTTAAATTCGTAATAAAGGATTTTTAATAATATTAAGTAGTATTTTATTAATTTTAAGTTTTTAATAACTCCAGATTTTTCTTTTAATTTATTTTAATTTATTTCTATATTATAATTTTAAAATATTAATAATACTCCCGAATTAATTAAGTATTTTAAAGCCGTATTATATAAATTAAATACTAATAAGGGTAATACTTATATTAATATATTTATTTTAGATCTTTAAATTAATAATATTTAGGACGTATTCCTTAAAATAATTTTATTATAATTTAAGGTCCTCTAATATAATACTTATATAATCGAACTTTTAATTATTAAAAAGCCCTAGGAGTTAATAACTTTTCATATATTAATAATATATATTTAAAAATAAGTAAACGATTCAATAATAATAATAATAATAATAATAACGTAATAATAAATAGTAAGGAAGCGTTTTTGATTTTAATAAAAGAATAAAATAACGAATATATAGTATATAAATTAATATATATTAAATATTAATACTTATAAAAGTTAGTATTATTCTTAATAACGGTAACGAGGGTATTTTTAATACTATTATTATAAGCTATTATTATTTAAACGGGCTACGAACTTAGCTAAGTATATAAATAAGCTTATAAAATAGTAGCGTCGCACTTAATATCACTATTAATTTATAATTATAAACTTTATAAAAAGAAAATTAAAAAGGTAAAAAAGAATTATAAAAAATAGTTTAATAAAATAATAGGGGTATTTATTAATATTATATATTAATACTATATAACTAATATTAAGAACTACTTAAGCGAGTAGTAAAAATAAAATAAAAAATAAATATTTAATATTAATAATAATAAATATAATAAGAATCCCTTTGGGGTCCGGCCCGCCTCATTAAGGGCCTTCTTCGCCTTTATAAGTAAACTAGTCTTATTAAAGTTAATATTGAGTTTTTATTACGTACTTTATAACTAACTATAGCTAGCCGTAATTATTATACTAACCTAACTTAGTAAATACGTCGAACTATACTAATTACTTTCTAAATAAATAAAAACTACCCCCTAAATTTATCCCCTTATAAATTCTCTAACCTTTTTAAATAACTACTCCTTAGCCTAGGCTTAGCTATATAATTCCTTAACTATATTAAAAAGTCGATTTTTATTTTAATATTAGTAATATCGAAGCTCTTTTATAAAACTAATACTCTAATAATAGTAATACTAATCTACTTTTTCTTAACTATAAATTTTTTCTTAAATCTAGCTATTCGAAGCTATATTTATAGATTTCTTTTTTAAAAGTAGTATTAATTAATATTATAACCTTAAAATTAAACCTCTTATTACAAAAATAGCGCTATAAATTAATAGCTTATTTTAATATCTTAAGTATTAATTATATATATTTAAAAAGAATTAGTAATAATAACTTATAATAGCGATTTTTAACTTTAATAAAAGAAACGAAGTAATAAATATATAGTACGTATATATAAGTTAAAATTAAAAATAAAAGTATATTAAATATTAATATTTATAAAGGATGGCATCATTTTTAACAATAATAACGAGGGTATCTCTAATACTACCATTATAAACGACTATTACTTAGAGAGTTATAAACTTAGCTAAATAAGTATTTTATAAAATAATAGTATTAAGCGCCTAATATTACTATTAATAATCTATAATTATAAACTTTATAAAAGAAAAGCTAAATAAGTAAAAGAAAATTAAAAAATAGTCTAACAAAATAATAAGAGTATTTACTAATACTATATATTAATACCGTATAACTAATATTAAGAACCGCCTGAGTAACTAGCAGAGTAAAATAAATAAAAAACAAATATAATAAGAATAATAATAAAATTACGTACTTAAGTAATATTTTATTTACTTTAAAATATAAAATAATTACGAAGTTATTCTAGCTTTAACTTATTAGCCCTTTACTAAATTAAATAAAATATTTAATACCTTTATTTTTATAAATAATAATAATAATAAGGCCTAAAGTTCTCTTATTAACTTTAATATATTATAAAACGTTTTAAAAATATAAATTATAATATTAATAATTACTATTTAAAGTATATTATTAATAAAATCAATAATAATATAGCCGAGTTTATTTATTTTATATTAATTATTAATAAAATTTAAATTATTAATTAGTTATTATATGAGCTAAAGTCGGCTTATATTAGCTTAATTATTATAAATAATATTAATTAAAACTAAATACCCATTAGTATTATTTTTAAAGATATTTATTAAAAGCGCTCTATATTTATTAAGCTTATTTATATTAATAAACTCTTTAAATCTTAATAAAGCGCCGTTTTTATAATAAGCTCTTTATATATTTTTAAAACTAAATTATTTCTAAGTACTTAAATAAAAATACTATTTTTAAAAGTATATTAAATACGTTATTTAGTTTATTAATATTATATAACCTTTAGTAATTAATAATAGGGCTTAAAAGAATATTATATTTATTTATATTATTCTTATTAGTAGAGGTAAAAGATAATATTACTAAATAATATACTTATAATTAAATTATTAACTATAAGATTATTTTTAAAGCTTTATATTAAAAACTTAAAGATAATAATACCTATTTTATTTATAATAAGTTTAGTTATATTTCTTAGATTACCCTAAAAAGCTAGTTATTATTATAGTTATTATAAATATTATTATTAATAAGTAGCGTATTTTAAATTTAAATAAGCTTTTCAATATAAGTAACTTCTTAACTAGGGAATAAATATAAAAAAACGGAAAATTAGCGATTGATTTAATAAACTTATAAAACTTTATAAAAAGTAACTTAATATTAAGTTTATAATAATATTTAATAAATATAGAATTTACTTAAAAGCCTTATTTAATATAAGAGTTAATAAATACGGATTTATAAATAACTACGTAATCCTATTATTATAAGATTTTTATATAGCCTATTTAGTAAATTATTATACCCTATTTTTGTTATCGGATTTAATAATA